AATTAATTTGAAATACCTACATTTTTGTGATACTTATTTTAACTTAAAAAAAATTTAATTGTTTTTTGAGAATATATACATAATGGATAATGATTATTAAAAATAAAAAATGGAAAAAAACAAAACAAAAAATTTTTTTTATTGGAATTAGAATTTCGATCCTTGGGTTAATCAGGCAAATACTTTCCTATTTCGACTAGTAGGCTTCGTGACATCATTGAGCATTTCCAACCTATTTAGGTAACCACTTTTGCTTAACATTACATTGATAAAATTTTGCATTTTTACTAAGTGTATTTCGTATTGTTCTTAGTTTTTTAAGATATGAGTGGTATGTCCTGATGTAGTGGAAAATTACAACAATAACAAACTTTGTTGATAAATTTTATCAGTTGATGACGTACAGTGATGGACAGTGTATTTCGTCCACCCAATTTCTGTGAATTCACAAAAATTTACTGTAGCCTATGCTTTATTGTCATGATAACTGACACTGTCAAGTTTAATTAATTCTTATTTATTTTGGACAGAATTTCCAATCTAAAAATGGATTGGTACTATACCTCAAGCAATGTAAGACAAAGCACAGGTAAAAAGTATGTAAAGAATATCGGGCATTTTGTCATCGTGATAAATGTTCATCAAAGTTCTTAAACAAGGTTAGAAAAACCTAAAGACTAATTTACACTTTTAGTCTGTCACGGCAATTTGTTGAACAAAATTCACTGTCCGTCATTGTACTCAATTGAAAAAGTCATAAATGGTGGCACTGAATTTTTTTCTATTTCGTTAATACTTGCATTATGTAGCACCAAGCAACAAGAGTTTCGAAGTAACTGGCAGTGTGTAACTTGTAGAGTGTCAGAAAAACTGCTTTCAAGCATATTATTACAGAAAATAATAACTTTTGTTAGCTATCGTACGTATTATTTAGTTTCCTTTTGTTTTTATTACTTGTTGTTATTTTTCTTTGTTCATTATAATACTATTTTATTTTCTTAATTAATTATTTTAATTGCCTATTATGTCACTAAATAAGTAATAGACAATGACTATTTTATGTTAAGAATGCTTTGAAATTATCAAAAATGTACGAGATTTTATGAGGGGTTCATGAAGTTAATGAGATTACCGGAGAAAGTAAAAAAATCTGAAATCTAAAATAATTGGTCATAGACCGATGAAAAACTGTCGTTAGTGCTATTTTAATATACCTATTTTTTAAAACAACTTGAAAAATGATTATTTTTAAAATCCAGTAAATAGCTGTACCCGTACGGAAAGAGTTTTAAGGAAACGTGATGATATTTTTTTGCTACGTAATTGTGAATTGATCAAATTTTTTTTGTTACAATTTCAGTGGTAAGCGGTAGGTATATGTATTTTGCGGATACATTTTAGTTTTTGAAGAAAGCATTTTGAACGACTTTTTTATGGTGCATTACTTAAATTCGTTTTAGCTTCCTTTTAAGCAAGCTCTTCTCCCTATTTTACAATTTAAACAAGCTCTCATACGTTAGAAGGTGTTGCCTGGTTCGGAATTAATTACCAAAGCTTGCGGCACCGTAATTACCAATCCTTGTATCAGATCTAGCGTGTCTTATCGCTTTCAATAGATCACACCGATATTCCCCGATCACTTATCCATTCTATTATTAATGATTATATGGTGCGATATTAAACAAGACACTGGACCCAAGCTCGAAATCAATTCGTCAACGTACCGCAGGATCAATCTTATTAAATATCTCACGAAAAAATAAATCTGCAACAAAATCAAAACAGACTCGGTCAACTCCGGGTTATCACATGCATCTCGCTCCTAAGGCTCCGCTTGTCCAACTCCAGGAGATCCTTGTTAAGCTAGATTATCCTTCCAGAACTCATCTGGACGATTGGATAATATTAACAGTTCTCGCACGCCCCCGACTGTAAATTACTAAACTATAATCGAATTCCATTTTCGAAAAGGTGTTTAAGGGACTTCCAGTTTGTTATTTATGTCTTTAAATTGCAGCATTCGCTGCGGTGTTTTCTCATGTAACTGTTCATTGATAGATCGACAAGAACAAACCGACTTTTTTCAAGCGTTTTTAATTTAATTTTGATAATTAATATTTAAATAAAAAATGATTAATTTCATAATGAATCAGAAAAAATTGGTAAATTAATGTATCCGACACGTTTGTGTTTATTAATAATTAACACTTTCAATAGTTATAAACATAATAAATTAGATGTTGTAACGCAAATACAGCTATGTTATTAATTCTGTCTCTCCTTATTTATTGAGTGGACGCATTTATCCATCATAACTGATTGTTTAGATGAGCAAAAGGAACAAGACTCCTGATAACACTTTGATGAAATTTCAATTTAATTTCTAATAGACTTGAGGTAATAAAATTTATGCTATGACTATAAATTTAGTAGAATTATAAAATTTCAACAGTGGTAATAAAAGTCGAATTTGATTCGTATCGAAAGTGTTGCTTAAAGGCGCTATTATTTTATATATCCTTCACATAAACATTTTTTAAATAAAATTCAAAAGTGCCAAGTGTTGAGCTTGTTGATTAAAAGAAAATTATTTTCTACAACAAGGTGATTGAAAAATTTAATTACTGCAGTAAATAGGTTAATAACAATTAAAGTACTGGTGCATAACTAAATATCATAACAAGGAAAAAATATCAATCTGATAATCGATAATTGAGTATATTTCAATGCAATTTATTGATTGTAAATCTAACTAAGATAATTAACAAGGAAAGTAAAATTAAGCGTTAATAAATAAATATAAATTAAGGGTTTGAAAGATTATATTAGTTTTTAAATGGCAAAAGAATTGTTTTATTATTGTTTTGTTAAAATCAGTACCAATCGAAATATGCATCAGCAACAAAAAATGTTTTACTGTAATAATTATGTATGAACTCGTATAACAACTCAATGAAGACATTTAAAATGTATTTACATAGAATTAAAGTGTTTCTAAAAGATAAATAAAAATTTCACATCATTAATAAATTTGAAGATACAAACCTGAAAAAAACTTTAAGAAATTACTTTATCAATAATTATTTTTAAATACACTTTAAGAAATTAAAATATATACCATACAATGTGTATTTATGAAGGTTAATATTTGTGGTAAAAAATAATATCAACAAATATTGTTATTTCTCTTACTTTTGATTGAATATGTACTTGCAATAAATTTAGGAAATGTAAACTATAGGATTAAATTTTATATACCGTTAGCGTTACGAATCTTGAAATAATGTCAATGTATGGAAATCTAAATTTTATAATAATTATGTATTGCTGATAGTAATATTATTAACAAAACTTTTTTTTATCAACTGGGTTTTTTTCCGAACCTGCGTTTATTATATTCCAGCAAAAAGAAGATTCGTTCTCATTCCACCCAACAATAAATTTACCAAAGGTGTGGGCAAGCCTGTAATTAGTTGGAATTAAAAAATTATTAATTACTGTAAATCTATTGGCGCGATAAGCGCATGTTGATCCCACATTAAAGTCCATGGGTTTGTCCGATTCACACCATGCTTGTCGGTAAATATAGGTTTGTAAAAGACGCGAGATGAGGCTTTAAGGAATCGTGCCAGTGATACCATCTTGCGGTTTAAAGTCAAAGGTGTTGCTTCATCCTTCTCAACTTTATCCATTTCGAATCTTCAGGACCACTTTCTTATTTGCCACAAAACGTCCAAATGATGTTTTCAACAGGTTGCTAACCGCGCTTATTTTTTAATTATAAATTTCGCAGAATTGTAAACGTTTTATCGCGATTGAAAAAATAGCACTCGAGGTGTGATGCAATTTATGATTTTACGAGCGAGAATTGCATGGGTGGTGCCGAAGAATGCGTATTTAGTTATTTCTTTTATCTTTTAGTTATTTGAAGCGAATTAATATATCATTAAAGTGACCACAAAAACTGTACTGCTGCATGGAACGTTATAATTAATTCTTAACTTGTTTTATTAAGTTAATGCTGCAGTGATAAATGGCTTAATCTGTGACGCTTTTTGCAAAGCCAATAAGGAATTCCATTCCCAATTGATTTAAATCATTCTTTCAGTAATTGCACACAGCAAAAACAAGTTCTTTCACTAATTATAGAAAAGGTATAAGAATATAATAGGGGTATATTTGAAAAACAATTCGGAATTTATAATTAATTAATTTTAAAACGTTTGAAAAGTTTGTAGATAAATAATAAAAGTATAACAATTTCACATAAAAAAATATTAGACTAGAAACTTGTCGAAACAAATTAAACACACAATGATTTAGTAACAAAAATAATTAAATCTGAGCCTTCGCCGTCTGTTCGATTTCACATCACGCCCAAAACATTTAATTCCATATAAGTTGTGCGTTAAGCACCACGAAATAAAAAAACGATAATAGGTAGTTTAAGAGAACACTGGAATCACTTTATTCTTGAAGCTAACGTGTTTCGCGGCATAATTGAACTTTGAAATATTACTTAGAGCTCCGCCCAATGTTCAGTCGCGGTTTCTTTCCACCTTCCACCTTCCATCCTACAATAATTGACCAGAATTAGCCTCTTGCTTTAGCTACAACACACGATAATAATACTCTTTTTCACTCTTGTTAATTTAAAATTTTATCAGATTGATCTTAAACAACCACTTCCATTTAAGGAAAAACTGATAAAGGTTAAACTTGTATTGTTAAAAATTAAGAAATCATGATGAATTTCAAGAGATCAAGTTTTGAAGTGAGAGATGGTGCGTCCTCTCATTTTTAGTTGCTGTTTTAAGCTCAATTTAGTTAGTTTACCCAATGATAGATGGCCCTGCGATACAACAAACTGTACTTTTGCTAAAAAGCAAACTGTAAATTAACTTTCAGTGACCTGGAATTTATATGCAAATGAGATAACAGTGTATCACAGGAGATGAAACTCGGGAAATTTCGGAAATACGATCACGTCCGAAACACTTAATTATGTTTTGCCAGGTGGCTTAACCACCAGGTGAACAATATCTAGTAGAGTTATCTCGTTTTAGATGTAGAGTTTCATTCTGAAATATTAAAAGTACAAAATCTAGTTTCATGGTGCTATAAAATACAAAAAGTGGTTCGAATTTTCAAAATTTTAAAAATTCTCTTGTGGCAGTTTGCGTGACAGGTGCGGAAATAAACAAATGAACAATGTCAACTGATAGGTACCACAAGTAAGTATCGTTTGTTATGATTTTGAACGGAAATAAATTGAATACAAATTTCCGTTTTCAAGTTTGTTGAACTTTGGTGCTTTTTAAATTTTCTCTAAATCACATTTTTATAGAATTTATTGACAATACATGATCATTATCTGCGATCCTTTTAATTCATCGATAAAAACCGCAAATAAATAAATAAATTATTGAGCTTAACGGGAATTTGACAAAAATGCCAAGGCGAATCATCAGTCTTCTTTATCATGCAAAAAACAGGAAATAAATCATTATTTGACAGCCTATCTTTTTTTATCAATTAGCCAAAATTTTGCAAAAATGTGGTAATTGAAGTAGGTTAGTATACAAACCACCTTCTTTTTTTGAGACTTTCTCCTCCAAGTGATTCGACTTAAAAAATGAAAGAAATGAAATCTTTTTCTAGAGCTGCCAAAGATGGCATGATAGAAGTACTAAAAGAAGCAACTAAAAGAGACTGCAATGGACGAGACGAGCAAGGAATGACTCCGACTCTTTATGCGGCGTTTTATGGAAATTTGGAAGCACTTAGATTGTTATGTGGTCGAGGGTAAGTAATAGATATTTTAATCAATTACATCAGAGCTTCATCTAAATAAAAATCATCAAATTGTTATCACTGATACGTGGTACCAAAGATACGAGATTTATAAAAAAACATGTCCTCTCGACTCAAAAATTCATTTGTACTGTAAATGTAAATACATAGGTAATAAGAAAAAATTCATTTCTCGTTGAGCAACTGATTTAAAAAGTACCTACTTAATGTTACGGATCAGTTAATTAAAATTATCTTCTTGTAATCGCAATTGCAAAAGTAACTTTATTTAAACATTGTAAAGTGTACAATGACTTGGTATCACGTTACTATAACTTGCCCTGATTGAGCGACTAGTAGAGTAAAACTCAAGAAACTATGTCAAGATTATGTAATGTGTATATAAACAATAAAAAATAACAATTATAGACGTTCTTGTATGAACCGTTTCAAGAGTCAACGTTTTAAGCACTCAAAAAAATAGGTATTTGATGTGAACAAGTTTGGATCAATTATTTTGTTGCTCATTTTATTATTTAATTTTATTCTTATTTACAATATAAAAAATATGTAATCAGTTTTTTTTTCATTCTTCGTAAGAAATGATTTCATATTACACTTTTCGAATTCTTTGGAGATACGATCTACGTGCCCAGAAGCTCAAATGTATTATATTTAAATAGGTTGTGATAGGTGAACGATATGCTTTCCAATCAATGTGAATACCTAGATTGCATGAAAGATAAAAATGATTTTGAATAAAAACTAATCATATATCATTTTTTATTTTGCAAAATGTTTTAGAAACATGAAAAACATTATAATTGAAGCATTACATTTTTTATTTTGCAAAATGTTTTAGAAACATGAAAAACATTATAATTGAAGCATTGCATTTATCACAGGGTCAACAATATCCTGGTCAAAAAAACTTTTTTTTTTTAATTTTTAACTCTACTATAATCAAGTGTTTCCAATTTAATGTTGCTTAGTGTTTTCAACGAAGATAATGAATAAGATGTGCATATTTATTTTATTCAACCAGGGTTTTACTATTTAATTAATCAAATGACAAAAATTTGTTTATTTGCTATATTGTTCCTGAAATAACTTAGCTTCTATTTTTTGCAACATAATCAGCAAATACTTTAAATCCTTCAAACGTTTCGACTGCCACATCCTTAATCCTCGAAGCCGGCAAATCAAACCCATAGTTTCCTCCCCCTGGCAACTCAATGGTATAAACAATATCAATCCCAGCGCCACCCATCGCCCAATCATCACTAGCCCCAGCAGCAGCATACAACACTTGCGTGGAACTACCAATAGTGTACCTAGTGCCATTAACCGAACTTATGGCATCGTCTACTTTATGCCCCAAGTCATCCAGTTCTTTCCAGTTATCACAAAGGACATTACCATAACCCCATGGATAGAGCAAATATTGCCCATAACTGTGCAGTGTCAAATACGCCTTAATATTCGCAGTGTTGGCTAAGTAATCTCTCAAATTCCGAGCTTCCACTTCAGAGAAAGCTTCTTTTCCGGCGTAGGTCTCCGAACATTCCCAATTACTAGCCCCGGCTTCCATCCAGTGGTATCCGAAGTTGCGATTAGGGTCACAACCAGGGCAGACGGTTCCTGGAGATCGGGTTTTGCGCCAAAGACGGTCTTCGTTCCAGCTGAATTCGTAACCATCGGGATTGACACTAGGGAGGATGATCCAGTCGACGTTTTCAAGAAGATTACTGTTGGATGGGTTTTCGACAAGTTGGTTTATTAGGTACAGAGCGACAGCTGGGGCTATCCACTCTCGGGCATGGATACCGGCATCGACAAAAATCACCGGTTTTGGGGGGTTTCTCGGACCGGAGGAAATCCGAATTAAATTCATATCGCGTTTTTCATACGATTTGCCCATTGTTTCAAGAGTGACAATGTCGGGATAATCTTTAGCGAGTTGGGTTAAATAAGCGTTAATCTTTAAAAAGATACATAAAATCAAGAATTATTTAATCGTATAGTTACCTCAGCATGGCGCAGATACTGGTCAAAACTAATTTTTCCCAATTTCAATGCTTGTCTCGATTGGTGGTACTGTTTTTCAGCTTGGATGGCTCTTTGGACATTTTCTATTTCGACGCTAAAATCAATGTTGTTGGTTTTTAAATAATCCTCAAGTTTGGTTTGGAATCTCGGTGGTACCATGACGGTAACAGGGTTACCAACTGTGTTTATTTTGGACCAAAAATCGAAGTCTGGGATTGCTTCTAAGGACTGCAGATATATATTTTGAAGATGAGTTTTTGTTACAAATTTATAAACTTTGTAGCCTTCGTATTTGGCACTAGAAAAGCCCAGAAGGGCTAGTACTATGAGTACCGGCACTTTCATCATGGTATCTGATGTGAAGTATTCAGAGCAAAACCTCTTTTATACACATAGTGGATAAACAACAATCTGCTGATTTTTCGATAATATTGAATTGAATTCTAATTCAATTCTTTTCTAATCCAGTGTTTTAAGGGATTACAAGTACAAATATTGTCTATGTTCTAGTAGTGTAACAATCAAGCTGTCGATAACTCGATAACTTAATCGGTTAATATTTTGATCCTTGAGTGATATCACGTTTTGATACAAGTCTTCATAATTTGTCTGCTATTAGGCTATTACACAGGTCGTCAAAAAAAGGGCATGTCGTCTCAGTGAGACAAATCAAATGCATTAAAAAATTTTTTAAAAAATCCACAAACTTTGTACTAAATTATTCTTTTCTAATTTAAATGAATTTAAAATACTTTAACTTCAAAAAATCATTACTCAACTATTAGGCCGATTTTCTTCAAATAAAGACCATTCTAAAGGGATGGACTTACCCTTTAGAATGATATGCAATTTGAAATTTAATATTGGCAAACTTTTCTTCGAACATTGTTCGAAGAAGTTCTAAGTAAATCGAAATAGTCTAAGAAAAAACCTACGAGTAATTTTTTTTCATCGTCACCATCGTGTAGAGCATCTCTTTATTAGTTATGATCCAAATTTTTAAAAGAATATAGCGAGTAGTTTTCAAGTTTTCAAGATATGATTTTTTGAAGTTAAGGTTCGCTAATCAAACATTGCGCCATATAGGAGAAATGCATGTTAGACTTACTTAAAATTGCATTTTTGTAAAAGCATTCTATTCTCATTACAGGATTAAAAATTTCACCATTATTTAATGGTTGGATTAATATAAACCTGAACCATTTAAATACTTTCTTATTTATTTATTGTTTCTAGTTAGTGTAATAAAATATAATCTTTTTTAATTCATTTACACTTTAAAAAGCAATAATATATAATAACTATGTATACTTATTATTCTAATTACAGTTACATATTCTTGTGTAAAAATGTTTTCTCAATCAAATTTAGAAAAAGAAAACACCAATTATCTAAGTAAAGATTTAGACTTAATTTAATAACAATTACTCACTAAAATAGGCTGTCAATTGTCTGTGTCTAATATATCATTAATTGGTAGTAGCAGTAAATGTGAAGGAAATTCAACAATTAGGTATTTGAAATATTTAAAGCATTATAAGTGAAAGCTTCTGTCCAACATTGTAATTACAATTAAAATGGAAAATACAAATTCACTAAAAAATGTTGTTGCCAGTTACATATCATAAATAACTTGAGATTTCTATTTTCAGATAACACTTTTATCACTTTTATCGATACAAATTTCAAAAATCATTTAACTCAAGGCAACTTATTCTACAGGGTTATTCATAAATATGAATCAATATTTGAACCTCAAAATTGACCCATAAAATTATGTTAATTTTTATAAAAACTCTTGTCTTGTCTCTACTGATAAGAATTTTACAGCCCTTGGAATTTGGGTATGGAAATTTGTGTTTTTTTTTTTTAATAACTTTGGAACCATTGTTAACAATAGTTACTTGCGAGAACATATCTTTTAAACTAGTGATCACAAAAACTGGACACATCTACTCAATTTCCCGTTCCAGCAGTTGCAGGTCACATTTTTTGTGTTTTCAAATTTTTTTGGCTTCTTAACACTAATATTTTATTGCTTAAATCGATAGAGTAATCAATTTCAAGTAAAAAACGCATAACCTTTAATACCCCTAAAATGGACCGTTTTAAAGATATTTTAATTTAAAATGAGAACTCACAACACTGAAAGCAAAAAGTATGAATTTTGAATGAGTGATATCCACGGCAACAAATGACCATGATCATTTGCTGTCAGGCATCTGTCAACTTGAGATTGGACAATTATTAGACCATTAATAGAAAATATATTTAATAAAAGAGTTTACCTCCAAACATAACTTAGAATAAATCCAAATGGATCTCGTACTATTTCATCATAAAAAAATCACAGAAATTTATCGTCAAAGTTAACAGGTGTCTCGCAGCGATTTAGGTGACCATGGTCATTGGTTTCCGTAGATACCACTCATTCAAAATTCATATTTTTCATTTTCAGCGTTGTGCAGTACTCACTTTAAATTAAAAATATTTTTATTAAACTATCTTTAACACGGTCCATTTTAGTGGTATAAAAGGTTATGCGTTTTTTATTCAAAACTGGTTACTCTACCGATCTAAACAATAAAAAATTAGTGTTAAGAGGTCAAAAAAATGGAAAAACACAGAAAATGTGACTACAGGTAACCGGAAATTGAGTAGATGTATCCGGTTTTTGTGATTATTAGTTTAAAAGATATGTTCTCGTAAGTAACGATTCCAAATTTTATAATATTTAGTCAAATGGTTACAAAGTTATTACAAAAAAAAACAACAAATTTCTATACCCAAACTCCAAGGGCTGTAAAATCAGTAGAGATAGGACATGAGTTTTTATAAAAATTAACATCATTTTATGGGTCAATTTTGAGGTTCAAATATTGCTTCATATTTATAAATAACCCTGTATTTATTTAAAATTATTGTGTCTTGATTAGATTAAATGCATAAGATTTTGAATTTTGATTTATTGGGAGGTATAATTACATGTGTTTATAAAATTTAAAAATGTAACAATGCTGAATGCATTTTTATAGGGGAGACCCGGACAAAGCCGACCTCTTCGGCAACACAGCTCTGCACTTGGCCGCGGCCCAAGGCCATAAACACATCGTCACATTCCTAGTCAATTTTGGAGCCAATATTTACTCGACTGACATCGACGGCCGAACCGCTCAAGAACTGGCCGGGATGAACAACCGCGACGACATCCTCCGGTTCTTAGACGGTGTCCACGCCAAACTGGAAGCCGGAGACAAAAAGAAAGCCAAAACACTCAAAGAAAAAGCAAAGAAAGAGTCAGAAAAACGCATCAAAGTAAAACACTGAAACCATCTAGAGAAATCGTTTTCACTTTCTTTTCAGGAATTTAACAAACGTCAAGTCAAAAAAGAACAAGTTCAAGAGAAGTTGGAGAAACGAATGAACAAAGGTCACCATAGGCCATCGATGATAGAAACGCTAAAAACCAGAATTAAAAGTGGGTCTATGTCAAATTTGGCGAATCTGGGACCTGCACCTCCGAGGTTCAGTACGATTGTAGGCAATGGGACGGTTTCCGGGATGAGGAATTTGGGGTCGGTACAAAGGAGGGTTCTTGCGAGCAGGACTACTCGGCCTGGCTTTGATGACGATTTCAAGGTACTATTAAGACTGAATATTCACAAGTTGAGAAAACTCATTTCAGGTTAGTGAAATTGAAGATGGAAAACGTTCAGTAAGGTCATTAACGGGCTACAGGCGGGACTCTGAAGTGCTTTACACGGGTACCATCGACGGCAGGAGAGGCCGTTTGGAGTCAGTTTTTAATGAAGCTGAATATATTGACTCGTCACCTCCACCACCACCGTCCAGTAATGGTCTCATTAGATCCATGTCTCAGCCTGATTTCATGCACGAACTAGAAACAAACGGCGATAATAAAATCCAACAAGAACCAGCAAGTATTTTTGTCAGGCCAGGAATTGGTAGTATAGCTTTCCGGTAAAAATGCTTTGAATATGAGTAAACAAAGAATACTGTTTTTTTTTACTTTTAGGAAGAGCATAACGAACACTTTCCAAGGCTTTTATTCTAGCGAAGGCCCCAACGAGGAAAGTTCAATCGGATCTGGGGAGAGTTACGGACCCAGAACTAACACTCTGTCAATCGATGAGCTTACAGACCCAGAATCCAGTGATGATGACAATCCAAATGCTCCCTTAGAACGTTTTTTGACAGCTTGGGGTTTAGGAGAGTATCTTCCTCGTTTCGAAGAACAGAAAATCGATTTGGATACTTTGATGATACTGACAGAAAACGATCTCCTAAGCCTAAAATTGCCACTAGGGCCCCATAGAAAACTTGTGACTGCTGTCAGTGAACGGAAAGCCGCACTGGAAAATCCCGGCGAAGTTACAGATAGCATGTTGTAAATATAAAGTCAAAATGTATTATTTATTCACTGTTTTGAAATATAATAACGGTATTGTATGTATTTTATTGGCACTTTTTGTACAGAAATTGTGTGCCAGGCATTATTTACAAATTCGTATTTAAATTTATTATAAATAAATGTGTATGTTATGCAAATTGAAAATGTCTTGTGGGAACTTATGGAAGACCTAGTTTTTATCATTAAAGAAAATGTTGATGTCATTGACAACGTCCAATGCTGGACATTGAAAAAATAAATGAAGAAGAGAAGTTACTTTGCAAATAACGGATTTCATATTTATTTTGCGTAATGCAAGAATCAACCATTAAAAAGTTAAACCGATAGCCAAAAATTTTAGGTCCCAACTATAGAATAAAGTAAATTAGTGTTATTTGTTCAAGAGTTTAAAATCACGAAACTGTCAGGTAATTTTCGAAATTTTTATAAGATTGGAGTCACAATAATCATCGCGCCAAATTATAAAAATTGTCGACTGTCAGAATCTGCGCGCGCAGTTTACATTCATTTTTGCCAAGTGTTGAGAACGACACCCGGTTTCTGCATTTCAACATATTGAATACTTCTTAACCCAAGTCAAATGACTTTGACCGATGGGCAATCAACGGGTGAGGTCCCTAAATTTGTGGCCCCCGTAATCCAAGACAACCCGACCGGATGGGGGCCTTGCGAACTGCCCGACCAGTTCAGGGACATGCCGTACCAGCCCTTCAGCAAAGGCGATCGTCTCGGTAAAATCAGTGACTGGACAGGAGCCGCCTTCCAAGACAAGAAATATGCCAGTAAGTGGAACCTCCCCAAATTGTCACCCTGACACATGTCAAATTTGAGGTTAAGTTTACAAGTTTTTTACCAATTTTAGATAAGTATGCGTCTCAGTTTGGGTCTGGTAGTCAGTATGCGTATTATCATGACGAAGACGAGAGCACTTTTCATTTGGTCGATACAACTCGCGTCCAGAAACCCCCGTATCAAAGGGGGCGCTTCCGCGCAAATCAACGCAATTTGCGAGGACGCGGAGGCCGAGCTGGGATGCAAGGCAGCGGCATGCAGTCGCTTGGAAAAGGGGTTAAAGCGAGAGATACGTACAAGAGGAGCCAGGTTAAGAAATGGGGACAAGGACGGGTAAGATTCTTACTTGAAGTTTTACCACAATACAATTCGTTTTTTTAGCCCCAAATTAAGATTAGGGATGCTTCTGTTACGGTCAAACCGGATTGGGTCACTATTGAGGAAATGGACTTCCCTCGTTTGGGAAAACTGTCGCTACCCAACGTCAAAGATGGTTGTTGAAATTTCATAATTTAGTACTTCTCTAACTTGGGTTTTTAGGTGAGGACGTTATTTGTTGTGGCGAGTTGGAGTACTATGACAAGTCATATGATCGTGTTAACGTGAAGAATGAGAAGCCATTGCAAAGTGTCAATCGTATCTTCCATACGGTGCGGTTTCATTAATCCATGAATTGTGAAATTAATTACTGATTTCAGGTTACAACCACTGATGACCCGATTATCCGTAAATTGAGTAAAACCGAGGGCAATGTATACGCCACTGATGCGATCCTTGCGACTATCATGTGTTGCACTAGATCCAATTATTCCTGGGACATCGTGATTGAAAAAATCGGTATTTTGCCCCAAATAAGTTTTACAAAATTTCAATGATCATTTTCAGGCGATAAACTCTTTTTTGATAAGCGTGACAACACAGAGTTTGATCTTCTAACGGTCAATGAAACATCCGTAGAGCCCCCACAAGACGATGGCAACTCTTTAAACTCTCCAAGAAACTTGGCCTTAGAAGCGACTTTTATCAATCATAATTTCAGTCAACAGGTTTTAAGGACAGGTTCCGGCGAACCTCGCTTCAAGTTCGACAATCCAAACCCCTTCATTTCTGAAGAGGAAGAAGGCGAGGTTGCTAGTGTAGCCTACAGATACCGCAAATATGACCTAGGGGGCGGAATTGTTAGTTTCATGTATTATTTTTCCCACAAAATTTATTTCTGTGTTGTAGTTCTTGGTTGTCCGTTGTGAACACGACGCCGTGGTTCAGTCCCCCAACGGCGAGCTTCAATTCCTCTCAATTAAAGCCTTAAACGAATGGGATTCCAAACTGGCCAATGGTGTCGAGTGGCGCCAAAAACTGGACACTCAAAGGGGTGCCGTTTTGGCTAATGAGCTCCGTAACAACGCTTGCAAGTTGGCCAAGTGGACCGTTCAAGCCTTGTTGGCCGGCAGTGACCAGATTAAATTCGGTTATGTCTCCCGTGCTCATGTCAGGGATAATAGCAAACATGTTATTCTGGGTACCCAGCAGTATAAACCGCACGAGTTTGCCACTCAGATTAATCTGAATATGGATAATGCGTGGGGGATTCTGCGGTGTATCATCGATATTGTCATGAAGCAGAAAGATGGAAAGTATTTGATTATGAAAGATCCGAATAAGCCGATGATCCGGTTGTACGATATTCCGGATAATACGTTCGAATCGGACGGGGAGTCAGAATCGGAGGATGAGGTGCCCCCAGATTCGGTGACTTTCCAAACGCTTTATCCGTACGCGAATAGTGCGAAACGCTAAGTTTTGTATTTTTGTTTTGTATTAGCGAAAAGCAAGAAATAAAATTGTCAATAATTGACAGTCATTAAACAGACGTGGGGAAAAATTTTAATAAATCACTTTCTTTTTCCCCAATTTCCTTAAATAATATATCAAAAAATAATTACGCTATTTTGGTCTTTTTTTTTTTCTAAAAGTGATTGAATCAATCACATTTTGTAAATAGTATAACATTAACTCAGTTGTAGACAATATCAGGGTACATAAAATAGTTTAGATTCTTCACTTACTTTCAATTTATTGTTTGTCAATTTAATTCAGGCTTTTAGTTTAGTTTTAGACAATGAAAATAACAAACATTACTGAACTAAAATGGATTCCAAAAAACAATAACAATAACGATTAACAAGTAGTCTAATTATATTTCTGAAAACCTTTAGCTCCTCGCTTGTTCGAGTAGGCATTCCTTCCTCTTTGAGGCAGAGTGTTTCTTAAATCAAAATTTTGCACATTTTTGTCAACTGGATGTTTATTCCATTTTTTTTTATAACTTCCCGAAGGTTCATTCCTACCAAAATCAGTCTGGCTAAACTTACGTTTATTTCTGGAAAATGTATTAATCCGATTAACGGGATTTCCTTCTGACAATATTTGGATAACTTCACCCAAATGTTCTTTCACGTGACGTGATTCCGAAATTTTGATAATTTGGGAGGAATCAGTCGGCATTTGTAAAACCAGAGTCTCCAGTTTATTTTTCGATAACACACAGCCAACGTTTATATCCAAGTATTGGGCAATTCGGTGCCTCCAGTCGTTCAGTTTTTCCAAAACTAGTAACTGTCGTTTGTGCATCTCTTCAACATTTCTAAGAACCGACAAATACGATTCATCCTCAACTTTAGGATACAAAATCTTGCAACAATTATTGCAATTATCATACACGTCCTTTAAAAGCTTGGCATCAATTAATTCATTTTTCAGTTTGTGGTAAAACGTTATTAGATAGTGCGAGTCCAGTCGCGCATAATCCTTGAATTTCGGAGGCAACGGCCTTCTGCGAAAATCCGCACGCTGCATTGCTTTATCTTTGGTTGCATTATAAACCTGCAAGAGAGCATCCAGGCCCAATTTATTGTATCCTAAAGCTCTCATTGCTATTTGCGTGTCAAACATGTTTATGACAAAAACACCCAAATCCCGCTGAAGCCACCTCAAGTCATTTCCTGCTGCATGAAATATTTTCACAACGTCGGGGTTTGTGAAAATTTCATTCAATTTGTGCAACTCATCCTTTAAAGTAATCGCATCAATGAGGTAATCCTTGTTAGAGGTTGAAATCTGGACAAGACAAGTCAAAGCTACGTAACCATGATCTGAATATTCAACGTCAACTCCTATAACTTTATGAGATTTTAAATCAGTAATTAATTCCTGGAGATTGTCTTTTGTGACGATATCACACAGGGGTGTTTCTTTGAGGGTTTTGGGGGGTTCTATATTCTCCACACGAGACATCTGCTCCACCGTGGGTTCAAAATTAAGGAGACGCGTCTTGTAAGGGTGACTTTGAAACGATTTTTCTGCTTCCTTTGTTATTTCTGATTCCAAAGTTTCAGCAGGGGCTTGATCCTGGCCTTCGTTTTGCTCTAAAATAAGACAATCTGGTAAGACACCGAAAATTGTGTTATTTATTAAAATACCAGCCACGTCATCGTCCTTTGGAGTTTCTTTATCACACGAATTTTTCACAGATTCTTCATTACTGGTCGTAATTTCTGTTGTCTGGACCTCAACCTTTGGTAATTCTTCTTTCTCCATCGCAAATATTTCTTATGTAAGCCAGTTAAAAATAATCCCAAAACTTACGATGTGACGATGGAAAAACTACAGTTCTGCCAACAATAAAAAATGAAAGTAGGAAAGTTCTGTACTTGTTTAAAATAATTATTTGCGGTTGTTGTTACTTGCTTAATATATATATTTATCTGAGTTGACGATTTAGTATCTAACAAAGTGTAATTTATTAATAAATGGGGTGATTTCTAGCTAGCGGTTTTGGGAATTTAGTTATGACAGGTTAGCTGTGCTTATTTTTTCTACAATTACAAAGGCGCTAGATTTAAAAATCAAACCTCAAAGTTATAATTAAAAACACAATAAAAATGGATTTATTAGGAAACAATAATTTTATTTTGAATAAGTAAGTATCCTAATTATACAATAGGTTGGAACTTCAGAGCAAAAACAAACATTATTTTACATTCAACAAAAATCGAAAATATTCCTTAAAAACTATCGAAAGCAATACAAAAACTAATATCGACGTGTGTATGAGTCGTATTTACTTCTCTTTCGACTGTCATACCGTGAATACTGCATTTCTTGACTTTGCCCCCTTTCTTCCAATCTATCCAATTCTCGAGATTTGTTTTTTGACCGGTGACCAAAATCTCGAGTGGGCCTTTTAGTTTCATGTTCAATGGGTCTAGAAGTTGTTGATGTGTTATTCATTGCTCCTGCCAAGAGGTTTTTAGTGGTTTCACAAAGTTTGGTAAAATTTGAACTATTGAAAGATGGGACACCACTAACCAAACCGCTGTTGTTTGAAGAGTTGTACTGAAACGAACTCGGAGGAAACACAAAAGAATTGATTGGAGTCGAACTTTGGATTCCTAATTTTGTGACATCAAATGGATTTTGTAAAAAAGTATCTGTCGTTGTTGTAGTTGGTCTGTTTTGCTGGTTAAACTGATTTGCAAATGGATTTTGTATATGACTATCTGTTGTTACTGTAGTTGGTTTGTTTTGGTTAAATTGATTCTTAAAGGAGTTATTTTGGTTACTTGTGTTTCTCTTTAAGTCAAGTCGCTTTGGTTTCTGATTGATGTTCGGACTGTTGTTCACTTTTCTTTTCGCGGCTTGTACTTTGGGCGTTTTGATTCTTAAACCATAAGACGTTTTTGCTTCCAATATTATCATTCTGACTTCTTCAGCATCTCCTTTCACATATGATGAGTTAGATATCTGCGTTATTTCGTCAACATTAGTTGGAAGACTTTTAACAATATTCAACAAACAACCTTTAGGTATGACACGTTCAACACTTATATTGTGCATCTGTGCTGTTTTGACATTCCAATCGTACAATTTCTTCAAGACTTCCTTCTGACAATCATGCACCACCTTTAGCTCGTTTTCTAACTGTTGTAATTTTCCCAATTGCTCAGTTTTGTGGACCACTTTACAAGCCTCTCGGCAGTAATCCAAAAAAATTTTGTACTCCTCAAAATCCTTAAGTATAAACTTGTTTTTGTAATCGTGGTACATGTAAATTAAATAGTGGGCATTTTTTCTACAAAATTTTATGTGTCTATCCGACAATGGTCGCGACTGGTAATAGTTTAATGAGGCTTTAGTTAATTTCTCCCTAACTCCATAGTCATGTGCAATTAATTGATGTAGTTGGTAATTGTTTTTCGGTGGCTCGAGTAAAATCTTTCTAGCTTGCTCAACGTCAAAAATATTAACCAAGTATACGTGTAACAAGGTTTGTAAAGTGGCTAAAACTGAGCTTGCCCCAAAAACAATTTTTACGATTTTAGGATTTAGGAACATTTCAGTGAGTAATAAAAGTTGGGATTTTAACTTTAAGACGTCCAGAAGGTAGTCTGTATTCCGCGTAGAAATTGCCAATAGTGTAATATCCCTTTTAAATTCCCTTTGAGTACAATAGGGCTCTAAAGACACTTCTTTCACATTCCTTACTTCTTGTAACATGTCTAGTATCTGATTTTGTGTAACAACCATCACAAATTTTGTATTTTCTAACGGTTTGGTAGCCCCAATTTCGGTAAATTTTAACAATTCTTTTGGTGTTTCAAAAGTTTCAATTAAGCAGATGTAGGGATGGGAACCTGTTTCATCTTCATCTTCTTGATCTTGTGTTAAATCTTCTGTTTTGGTATCTGTCGAAGTCTCATTGTGTTTTTCTGCTTCACTGTTGTTTTTCTCAATAACTGTCTCATTTGGAGGCTCATCATCGTCTTCAATTTCAAATATTTCGTCAGATGTAAAAAGACTTGTGTTTTGGTAGTTATTCGGCTCTGTCTTGAACTCTGATTCTTCCGTATGATTTGACAAAGAATCAATAGTTTCTAAATTTAAATCACTTATATTATGCCCTTCATTAAGATTCAGCTCCGAAACTTGGCCGGTCTGGTCAATAACCGTGAAAGAATCTCCAATTCCTTCCTCTTTGACTTTGTTTTGGAAAGCTGAAAAATTGCTTTAGAGATATTTCAAGTGTAATATAAACATACTCGTCATCTCAAAATTTGTATTTAGACTCGTACTATGAGTGTTTTAAATTAATTATTTCTTTTTGGAATAATGCTTTGAAGCAATATTTTTAGCAAATTTTAACCCCGCTTTTGAAACAATCGAAGGGTAAACATAACCTAAAATCACAAAGATAACTCGTTTAATTAAAGTACTAAATACTAATAAAAAAACTTTCTATATTTTGGCTGTGTCCACATATTGCTGTTGTTGAGCTCATTATAACAACTGTTAAAATTAATTATATTTAAATGAGAACATTTTTAATAAAACTATATTCGTCTTTGTTTGTTTTCGGTCAAGAAATGATTCGATATAATGTAGTAATGGCGGCAACATTTTTAATTTGATTTTTTTAGAATAATTACAGTTAGTCACAAAGTAAATTCGTTACGGTTCATTTTCTTTATTCTAATCTAAACAAAAATATAATACTTCAAACAAGGAATACTTCACGTTACAGTTTATGTAATACCATTCTAATAATTTTTGTTATCAATCTCTTTAATAACGAGCTGAATTTTTTTTACTGCAGCTTCAACGTCTTCGTCACTAATTTCCCAATAGGTGACAAATCTGATAACCCCTGCGTCTCTTGAACTTGTTTTAACACAAACTTTAACCTCGTCGGTTTCAAAAACAGAAGCCAGTCGCTTTTGAACTTCTTTGGCAGTGATTCTGGACTTGTCCAAATACATCATAAGGATGTTGGTTTGGACGCCCGACAAGTCCACCAAAAATGTCTTTGATTTCATGGCGCTAATACCTGCGAACGAATAAAAAGTAGTGTTAATATTTATTCGAATATTAATAATTGTTTTATGTAATGTTTATTACAATATTTAATTGGAGGACAAGTAAACAGGACAATTGTGACCAAAGGAAAGCCATACACAATAAAAATATATTTATTTTTGTTATAAAGCATTCTCACGTAAATATTAGGAGTATTTTATTATTTTTATTCAGGTCATATCTTGTAAATCTTAAAGTACATAAAAAACAATCAAAAAATATATTGTCATAAATATAAACACTTAAACACCTATCTTAAATTTTAATTGACTTGAATTGATCATCAAATTCTTTCAAAACAAAGGTAATTCTGTCGATCGTATCTCTGATATCATCATCTGTGATCTGCCAATAAGTCACAAACCTGACACAATCAGGCCGAATCGAAGAAGCCCTAACACTAACTTTCACTATATCTGTCTTAAACACTTTAGCCAAACGATAGATGACTTCTTTAACGGCCACTTTGCTCCGATCAATATACATCATCAAAATATTTGTATGAACCGAGGGCAAGTCAACTTTGAAGATGTCCGATTTCAAGCTATCAATAGCTGTAAACAACTCTCTAATTTCCGCCTGTAACGAAAAAAAAACATTTACCTTTGGCAATCTGCAGGATATGATCGTGGTCCTCCTGCAACCGATCGATCATATTATCAAGAGCCACAAGTCCTGCAGCTGCGATAATCCCAGCTTGTCTCCAGCCGCCCCCAAGGACTTTTCTCGTCCTCCTAGCCCTGCAAAAACGAGTTAAATACTCGCTAGGATTATTTAAAAAATCTCACTTGTCGACAAAAGTCTTGCTGCCGGCGAGGATAGAACCAATTGGCGCACCTAGACCTTTACTCAGGCAAAAACAGACAGTATCGACGTCGCGGACTACTCGTTCCACAGGTACTTTGAGGTAGACGGCGGCGTTCATAACCCGAGCCCCGTCCATATGGACCGGAATGTTGTACTCTTTCGAAATGTATTTCACTTTTTCGATCCAATCTAAGGGTAATACCTAAAGCGGGGAAATAATCGTTTCAGAAAAATATAAGTTTTTAATTGTTAAGCTTTACTTTTCCACCACACATGTTGTGGGTGTTTTCGATTATAACTAGAGAAGTGTAGGGCTCATGACAATCCGGATTTTTACGAATTCTGTCTCGAAGTTCGTCCAAACTAAAAGTCCCATCGTTGTTATTGCGGATTAGGGAGGCTTGGACGCCGGCAATTTGGGCGGGGCCCCCTAAAATTACGTCATTGCTAATTACCAATGGAAATTTCTTTTTTATTAAATAACGATACTGATTAGAGAATGGGTGGGTAACAATCTCGTTTCTAACCATAACTGTATTTAATGAGAAGGTTGGGAAACCACAATGCGAAAATTAGTACCTACCTACCTTGTTCAAATCTGAATGTGTGCCCATTATCGCCTGAAATTATCTCACTCCCTCTTTGATTGCAGTGGACCATAACTTAAAAAATTGATAAGACATTAGAATTGCATCATTAAAATTATCAAAATTACAAAATTCTAATCAGTATTTAATGCAAAACAAACATAGTATTAACTAAAACCGGTGAGGTGTAAGAAATAAATTATCCACTTGATAAATAAGATTGCTTAATTCCACTCGGACGTCAAAATCGTTACTTGCAAAAATTTTATTTGATCAAGATAATCACATAAACATTGATTTTGTTTGATCATCTTAAAGTTCTGCTGTTATCTTTTGAAAAAAAAAATTTTCAAATAATAAAAACGGGAAGTTTCCTTTCTTTTATCGCCGACATTTGACTTGTTGCAAAAGAAGTAACAATAAACTCACTTGCGATTAAATTAGCCATGGTTCCGCTGGCCACGAAAACGGCGTCTTCTTTCCCCAAAAGCTCGGCCGAGCGTCGTTCTAACTCCGCGACCGTTGGGTCTTCCCCGAAGACGTCGTCTCCGACGACGGCCGTCGCCATGGCTTCCCTCATTTCGGGGGTGGGTTTGCTTATGGTGTCGCTTCGCAAGTCCACCACGTGGACCGATGAAGTGTTTATTTCACCGTTGACTTTTTCGTACATCTTTAATAAAATCGTAATGAGAGACCAATCGCGCCTTGCGTTTATATAAATCAGAGTCCCACCACAATGTTTGCACAATACACGAAGGTCAATGTGGAGCGAGTTTACTTTAATGATAAAATAACCCTTAGTTACAAGAATTTACCTCGATTGTGGTTCAGCTGAAAAACACCAGTTTTCGAGATAATTTTACAAATTGGTTAATTTTTAATATTCGATTTGTTGCGTCATGCTGTAGTAAAGCGCTCAAGCTCACCCATTCAACAACTTATTCAAATTTGAATTTTTACCGCCATTTTGTTCAAGGTCACATGCGATGGGAAGTTGTGATAAGTTAGATTAAATTAAATTTGAATTAAATAACTCTTTAACTCAGTTTTAACTGATAAAAATTGAAATGACTGGCAAATTTTTAAATGAAAGCAAGCATCTATTTTTTTGCCTTGGGAAAATATAGGTTAGGTGTCATAAGAAGTAAATTCAAAAAATTTATATAATCATTTCAACTACAATTACCTTTTAATAAGCTTAAGCTAGAATTAAAAAAAAGTTCACAATAATACAACTGCTATCACAAAACACAATACAATATAAAAAATAACTATTAAATAATAAATTCGCACTCAACACGTAACAAAAAGGCCATAAAAGGACTTGAAAAGAATTTAGGTCACACGCATGCGTGCCTTAAGAGGTACTTAATGACCTTTTCCTAATTATCAAAAAATTCGAATTTCCTCTTCCTACAACTAACAAAAAACAAAAATAACATCATCTGCAAATCACATAAAAAAATAAAGAAGCTGTTTTTAGCCAAGTAAAGACTTATTACATCATCCAACAACAAGAAACTTTTACTTTCGTTTTACTTTCACGTTTAATTGATGCCTTATTAATGATTTATTGTCATATATTTTTGCAAAATTTAAAATTTCCGCGTTTCGCTGCCAACCTAAACCCTAATTGAGTTAAAATCCCTAGTTTGTGTTTTCAACCGCAGTGGTTTCGCTGATTATTTGTCAAAAAAATCCGTTCTCATCCAACACCTGGCACAAGACAGTTCAAAATGACTCAAAACAGGTAAAAACCCAAACATCTTGCCCCAACATTGCCTCCAAATGCCTCAACACAAGTCCCAAACTCGTGTTCTCATACAGCTGATTACACCTTTTCCCTTTAAATTATTACAGAAAACGGGGTCGCAACCACCATGAAGACGAAGTCGAATTTATGCCACTCTCGAAACGGATCAACAATCTCCATATAAACAACGGTCTCTTCTTGGACAACTCCAATCCTCTGGGGGCGTCTGAATGGGGCCCCGGGCCCCCAAACTTCGTTCATCAGCTCCCCGAGTCGCCCCCAAGCTCGGTGCAAAGTCTCGATTGGAACAGTTCGCCCCAGTATTCCCCAGATCTGAGCGAAAACCAAAATCCACACTATTTTAATATCAATAAACTGTTGTTTGAAATGTATGTTGAGCGGCTGCAGCGTGGATGTCATCAAGTGTGATTAGGGCCATTACAAGACTGTATTTTTTATACTTTTGTTTTTTATGTATTAAGAAACTGCTTTTTATGGACCAATTTATTTTTGAAAATAAGGCTTGATTTTTTGAGCTGTTATTTGTGTGTGCCACAGAGCCGTTACAATATGTAATTTTAGATGCCATTAAGTCCGATGTTCACTTCATTGATTTGTTTGAAATAAAAGTGAACAAAGGCTTGCATTACTTGTTAATTTATTTTATAGGATAGTTAGATAATATAAATATCCACGTGGTTATTCACTAGTTATGCACATGTAAGAGTATTATTTTTATTATGTCTTGCATTTAGCCATTGTACATTGTGTTTGAAATAAGATTTTTTCTAGTTTTTGTTTTTTAGACCATTACTACACTGATATTAAGGCATATAAACAGTATAAAAAATTCAATCATTGGTGGACGTAGCTGAAGATAAGCTAAATTTAGTGTCAGCTTTTATTTTCAAGTAGTTGAGAATGATAACGCATCAAGATTGTTCGATTTTTTTTAATTTACTTATTGTACAAGAAATACTGCATTTTTTTTATAATTTTTAATTTGTGTGATTAAATATTTATCCCATGTTTCACAGTAGCTTAATTAATTAAATTCGGTATTTATTGATTGCTCTATTAGTAATTTACATGCTGAATTGCTTAGACTTTCTTTGAATTGTAAAAAATTATAAAGGATCAATAAATGTTTAATTATTTTGTTTTCTTATCAGTTCAGAGTCTCGAAAATATTCCCACATTTTGTTTTTTTTTTTGTTAACGCAGAAATTTTATCTGTGTGGGATGTTAAAAATGGCCATGTGTTGCATGGATTGTTATTCACTAGGTTTTTAACCAGTAAATCCCGCATTATTCCATGTTAGGGGTCACGTAATAATTAGCTGAAATAAATTAAACCAGGCGAGATAAATATTTGTCAATACTTTTGACGGCTGAATCCGTAACAGTTTGGTTTTATTTGAATTTCGCGTATCAGAAATAATAAAAAATATGGTGAAAGACCAGTGATACAGCATTGCATAACAAAAACATTTTGAAATCGCATCAACAACACGATGTATTCTTGACGTCTACCTCAACATCATGTTTTTGTTATTTCTGAATGTTGCAATCGCGTGATATTTTTCGAGATGTTTTGGTTTCGAAGGTGTGGTTGTAAAATAAGTGTCGGTTTGGCGGGCAAATTCAAACTGGTGTGTGCGTCACGTGCCATCTATGAATCCGTTAACGCAAGACCTTGGCAACCGATCAGATCCGGGCATTACAGCTGGCGTTGATGAACTCGTTTGATGACGAAGTGTTGTTTTCGTTGCGAAGAAGTGCTCTAGGTGTTGTCTCGAAGGCGCCAGTGGCAGGTAGGTGTCCCACCTAGAGGTAAAAATCGCGAATTCGGCTCCGAAGGGCCACACGTCCGCCCCAGACGATTTCTCGTGTCTTTTCGCGGGTCGCGGGCATTTTAGGGTAGGGAGCTTCGTCGCTGTGATGTAGAATTTGTGGAAGGGGTGCTCATAGTGTATTCTGGTAGGATATATTCATCCCCACATTCTTCCTAAACCACCACCACTTCCCTCCACCACGTTAGACAACGTCATCGCCATAGATACGCCTTACTTCCACGACTTTGGATATTTCAGTGCAAGGTCGATAACCTAACGGAACTTTGTTCCTGCTTTTAACGGTACTTTTTTTGTGGGGCCCTCCACGAGGCACCCTTTCGACAATTCGACAACACCTGCTTGCGATAAAGGGCTTTATGTCGCGTCCTAATGGGGATTTTCATTTTATATCAAACAAACCAGCATTATTACTAGTAATTGGTTTTCTACATAATTGATTGTATTGCCGCATTTCTACCTTTAATTATACACAAAGCCTGACAAATTGTCGTCAACTGATGAAATTTAATCGCAAACTTACGCATGTTGTTACGTAACATTCACCATATTTTCCTTGAGCCATTTTCAAGGTCTGCAAGTGTTTTCTGCAATAATTTTATGTAAATTTGCATCTTTTTAGAAAACTGCGAAAGATGTTTCGGAATTGTCGAGGCCATCATCAACGTGTTTTTGTTTCATAGCCTTCTTTGTTTTCATAAAACTAGAGTTGACGTAAAAATACATGAAATGTTATTTTTGAGATATTTAAAAATAACAAACGTGTTTATGACAGTTTGATTATAATTGATAATTGAAAAAATAATACCACTTATATTGTTAATAGTTATTCTTGTATTTTATATGCGCAAAGCATAAAGTTGTGAAATAAATGATTGACGACCTTGAAATAGTGTATGTTATTATATTGTCAAGTTGGTGTTTGATAGATTTTAGTGATATTAAAATTACCAACACTAACAGAAATCAGAGGTGTAAAACAAATATCGATAAAAAAATAAATTACTTCTAATGAAGTAATGAACCAAGGTTTGAAGGAAGACAACAGGATGCAAAGTCGATTTAAATCCATTAATTATATGTCTTTTCTTAATTTTGTTTCTGTTAATGAATATGTACCTATTTGTTTTCTGAACCAACTTCTACTTTAAAAAATTACTGTTTTATTAATCAATTTTAAAAACTTAGATTTTCAAAATTTAGTGTATCAATCATCGTTTTCGTGAAAGTGGGTTTGTCTTGGTACTTGAGAATGTTTTTCTGAGATCGATAGGTACAAAAATTTGCAAAATTTGTTTGGGTCTGTTGCTACAATTTTTAGAAAAAAGAAAAAGTATTCTACAATCTGCTAATAATTTTCCAGAAAGATTATTAATATTTTTAATTATTAATTTGATACGTAATACGCTATTTGGTCTAAGAAATATTTTAATGAAAACTTAAAGATAAAACAATTCAGTAAAATCAACTTTAAGTCTTTGTTTTTCTGTACATTTCTTAGTTATAACATCGCTGAATTATCCAGTTATTTACTCCATTTTCTACCTCCCACTTGTGATTTTTCTCCCACTTTACCTCCACGTTCGCTCCTCCTTTTTTTCTAAGTTGTATTCGTTATCTCAAGATTAGTTGATACAATTTCATTCGCTCATTACTTGTCTTTGTAGACGGATATTTTTTATTATTAACAAAAGAATGGTTCAATGACAGTTATTAATAACGGAATTTCCTTGCCCATGTTTTGTTATAAATTAAATATTAAAAAAGGAGTTTTCAAGCCAGGTCATTACAAATGATAAAGTGTAGGTAATCTAAATTAATTATTGTTTGTTGAAACAATTTAATACGTGACTTGTTCATAAATTTAATTTGTCATTAGTGTGTTCTTTTTTCTCACTTATTCTGTTGTAAACTTCCAGTTATGCTCAAGTGAAAGTTTTCTTACTCGAGCTATGCAACTTTTTTATTCCGTTATTTTATTGTTCTGCACTACTAAGCAGATATTTGGTTAAATTATATTGTAGACTAGTTTACATTAATAATGTCTGAGTAGCGGGGATAATAACTACTATTCAATTACATACAATTTATTCTGTTTACTAATTTATTTGTCGCGTTCCAAACTTTTTCAGTACTCACTGGTAATAAAACTCCAACTTTAGTCACCTTTCTGGGGGCTGAATTGATGTCATTATGTCATTGCCTCCTACAGAATATTTTTTTCTAATCCTAGAAGGATTTCTCAAGGATAATTTGTCCTTTTATTTCAAACAATAGACCAATCGTTGCGTAAGTCATTAAATAGCGGAAAATCAAAAATTAATAATTCTCAACGTTAAAATTTAATTAGTCTCTCCAATTATGATAATGGCTATGACGTTCGTTCCAAAAACCACTAATTGGTGCAAAAATAAACCGATTCTCTAATAATGGATAGTTGTGTTGTGATTACATCATAATTTGAGACCGGCGCTTCTGCTAATGCACACGAGATAAACCAGATCTACCCAAACGCCTTTTAATTGTCTTTACTTCACTGTTACTTCTTTGGTCCGTTTTTGTCAAAAACCCAGTACCAGGTCGAAAGAATCCAATGTTGTTGTATCAGATGTGTACAAATCCCCGTCCAAAGTCGCCTTGAACTGAATCCATACTAATGGTATTTCTCTCCCATGAAGAGGGAAATCGCACCATCTCGCAGACTTCATCCCGGATGATAAAAAGCAGAAGTAAAAGTGTTGTGCGAATATACATTTCTCTTATAGACTTCTCACCATCAAACGCAATAGATAAAGATAACCTGCATACTGGTCGTAGGTGAAAGTATTCTAAAGTAGGTAAATGGGTTGACATCCCCACGGTAGATTTCTCTATCACCATCTCAGTTCAGCACTATACCAACAGGTGCACCAGAAGAGAACGGAACGAGGTCACATGATCGTTTTCTACAACGATACCCCACTTTCCAAATTGTTCTTCTGCCACTCTTCGCGGTGTCTACCACTCTGCACCTCATGTGCACGGTTTTGATCCACTCTACCCCGGCATTTCATCCCCTCTTGGGACGTGGTGGCACTCCCAAGGACACACTTGTCAAATTTTAAAGTTTGTTTGGGGTTTTTCGAAGCGGGAAAAGTTTGTGATTTGATTTTGTGCAATTCTTTTGTGATAGTATTTTTTAGGTAAGATTTTTGATTATTTTATTTTGTTTAGTGCTGGTACTTTTCAAACTGATCCTCGTGGTTACCCCTTCCATGGGTTGGGGATTGGTAGTAGAAAGGGTAAATTGATGTAATTTTGTATCGGTAATTAAATCATAAAACACTGGTTTTTAAAAATTTTACTGAAATGCTACGATGGTCTGGTGAACATCGTGCCTGTGGTACAACATTAATAAAGGACAGTCACCTTTGAAAAATAACACACTTATATTTATAAAGACCTGCACATGAAATAAAATTTATTCCAATTATTTTATTTTATTTATGCATTCAGTCGTTTTTTACCTTATTTTTAGTTTTAATTATTTTTTTAAAGGTAAGGTCAAATTTTACATTTGAAATAGTCGAACATGGTAATTTGCTCAAAACGATACCGTAGGAAGTTTGCAGTAATTTTCGTAAATTCTACACCAGCGGAGCCCAAAAATTCATGGCTTATTAATGTTAAGTTAACCAGAATTTTTCGGTCATCAACTCGTCTAAAACTTGAGATCAAAGCAAATATTTGGTACATAAAAAAATTCTGCTTTAAGATTGTGTGGCAACAAATTAAATTATATATACCTACATTTTTTTTTTCATTAAAATGTTTTTCTTTTAGATTTAAAAATCAAAATGTTTCAGTTATATTTTTCAGTTATACATTTGCAATAAATTGTAATTGTTTTATGATTATTTTGCATTCATAATAAGGGATTTAAGTAGTATTCATTTTATGAAAATAACCGCTCTGTGTAATGAAGAAATAAAGACCTAATACCTAATTAATTTATTTTGGAGTTAATATTTCAATGTAAACGTCATCTTGAAAGATTGAAATTAGTTAAATTTTGAATTTTTTTTTTTTTCTTTAAAGACTTATTTTTTATTCAGTGATGTCTCTTCTACACTTTTGTGAGTTTTGATGTGGATTTATTTGACCTTCAGCTCTCACAATAATTTAGAATACATGCAAGAAGATTTAAAAAAAATTTTTTTTATACCTATGTGAATTTTACTTTTTATTGTTTATAAAGGACATTATAGTCTAGCGTTTATTTTAAATATTCAAAATTAAAAAGTTATAATTAAACTTTAAATGATTACTCATATGCCATCACCTGTTTTAGTTACGATAAAATTTCAACACTTCTTAACCAGTAATTCCTTTTAAACACGACAAGGAATATGAGTGATTAAAAAACGTACGAATCAAGAGTGACTTTATTAGAAATTTTTACTTTTTGTGAGCACAATAATAAGTAATTAAACAGTTTTGTTTATTTTTTAGGTATTACATTATTTAATTGGAAAACTTGAATCTGAAACATTTTCAGAGTGAATCACTGTCCATTGTCTCTTTATAAACCATTCATGCGTAACATGCTTACGTTTTTGTACCAACACGAATACCCAATATTGTACAAAAATTTTACAATGGCGCAAAATATCCCAGTTTGATATGCCACTGAACTCACTATTAACATCGATTTAAGGTCACCTCATAGAAAGGTCTCGCGAACCTTGTACAATTACTCAACGCTTCAACACTATTAAATCTCTTCTAGGTGAAATATGAACTTCCCCACGTTTGGTGTGGGCGTTCCCTTATCGGCCGCCCTTCCCGTGGCTACCCAATTCTCTGCTGGAAAAATCACCCAAAGTGTTACAACTCCCAACGGACAAGTAGTCGGTGTGCTTCAAGGAGGAGAGAATGGCGTTCACTACATCAGGCCTTTGGACGCCAATGCTTTCGCAACAGCAACCACTCAGGGGCAAAGCACGGGCCCGACGCAAACCCTCATCACGTTACCTATTACAATGCCAGGGGCGAAACCTGGAGACCCCCAACAGCATGTCCAAATTCAAGTCGTAAATCCCGTACAGACTCAGGTATTTGATGTAAGTGTGAGGAATCGACAAAAGTATATTTAATAATGCGATTGCAGACTTTCGGACAAGGTGCGACAGTGTTGACGGTGGCGTATAACCCCAACCAGGAGGGGGGCATCCAAATTGTAAGTATTGTAATAATTTAAAAAATTGGGAAGCTAAGGAAGTGATTAAGGTGGATGGCCAGAATGGAATTACCGAAGGGATGACGGTTGTAGCCGCTCTTCAGCCCCAAGACATCCAATTGATCCAAGCCGAACCTGACAAAAACAATAAAGACGCGGCAACCCCCGTTGCTTTAATAAAAAACGAAATGGCCAATAAAGAGGAGGAGAGTAGCGAAGCTGGAACTTCCATAGCTGCTATCCCCGCCCAATATTTACAAAATGCTAGCGTCCAAGAATACCTACAAAAGATGCAACAACACAGCACGTTACCTTTAAGTCTTCAACAATTTCTAAAATTTAATAACCCGGAAATTAAGCGGGAACAAATCACCGATGAGGGTGTAATCGAGACGATTAATATCTCAACCGATGATCAAGAGCAACTTATTTTGAACGAAGTCGAAGGCGAGATGGAAACCGAAGAAAGCGCCGATGATCCAGACAAGGGAAAAAAGAAGAAGAAATACAAGAAAAAACCACCGAAACCGAAGAAACCCAAGCCGGGACAAGTTCACATCGCTACTGCTTTAGACGGTACAACACTCTTTTGTTGTCCGGAGTGTCACATGGCGTACCCCGAGAAAGAATTATTGGAACAACATTTAGTAGGGCATAAAATCGAGCGGAGGTTTATTTGCGATATCTGTGGCGCTGGTTTGAAACGAAAAGAACATTTAGAACGTCATAAGTTGGGGCATAATCCGGAGAGGCCGTTCGTTTGTTCGGTTTGCATGAAAGGTTTTAAAAGGAAGGAACATTTAAATCTTCATTTTGTTATTCATTCGGGAGAGAAAACGGAAATTTGTGGGGAATGCGGGAAAGGGTTTTATAGGAAGGATCATCTGAGGAAACACGCGAGATCTCATGTAACCAGAAGAGCGAAAGAGCAAGCTGAAAGGAATCAGAATATTCTGATTAAGGAACCGACTACACAAGTCACAATACAGGTCAGTTTACGCGAGGTTTAAAGATTTGAAGTAAATTTTTGAATTGCAGGTCCCTACGTCTCAAATGCAGATTCCTGTTCAGATACAGGTGCCCCAACACCACATCCAAGTTACCGCGAATTCGGAAGAAGACGGCAATCAAGTTAGTACGGTGGTCTTGCCAACTGCGTCTGAAGGGATTATGTTGCCCCAGAACTAAACTAGTAAATAAGTACTATAAGTGATCTTAATGAACATTGTTAAACATTTTTATAATGTATATATTATATGGACATACATATTCATATTTATTCTCTATATTTACCGATGTGTAGTTTGTTAAATGCTCCACAACGTGATCATGATCTGAAAGAATTGACACGTGAATCAATCATGTTTTCTTGTTGGTCTGAATCGAGTTTTTATTTATTTTATTTTTATGTTCTGTTCTTTATTTTTATTTATTCAGTATTATGGTTAGCAGACTAACGCTTGAATCAGTTGCAATACATTGAGAAGTACAAACGTACAATTCATTCTGTTTTTAACCAAAGGTTATTTCTTTCTCTAAAAGACACCCCGCCTCTCTGTACGTGGAACCAGATAATGTTATTTTGTACAAAATGATTTAGTTTAGTTGGTTTTGGGTTTAATCTAATTTGTAAACTTTGAGCAATGTATCTGTAGTTCGCTTTTGTTTCTGGGAAAGTTGGAAATATTTATATTTACGATTTATATTAATTTTAGTAATAAACTCTCCACGCGTTGTTTACTTAACAAATTTTTGTTTTAAAAAATTAGAGAGTTTACTACCAGCTATGTCACTGAAGACTGCGTGTAAAATTTGAATAATTCAATTCGGACTCTTGATTGTGATCCATATGTAGGACGTAATTTAGTTTCACAGGAAGTTGAAACTTGGGAACGAATGTTGAAATTTACTGTATTTTTTTATACTACTGACATTTAATTACATTACATAAAAATAAAGATGTTTTTTTCTTAAATTTGGCGTCGTGTTTTATGAGAGGGTAAGTTTCCCGCCTTGATTCAAAAAACAACCCTTGCTCCCCAACCCTTCAATAATGACAGACAGAATGGCGAACATCGAGGTTTTGTAAATGTTTGATCGCGTTAGCAATATTACTCAATTACTTTCGATTTCTGACTGGAGTTATGGTAAGTCCGTTTCTGCAAAAAACGAGTATTTGAAAATATTGATTTTTTTTGAAGTTTTTTAAATTGATTTTTCAGACAATATAAAACCGGGATTCAGGATGAATTTCACACCGTTCGGTGGTCATTTCCCCACAGCCATCCCCACGATTCACCAATTCGCGGCAAAGTTTTCTCAAGAAAACAATTCCGCATCTCTGTGCCCAACTCAGGAGAACAACAGCAATAGATACACAGCTAATGGGGTACCTTCGTTCACTCAACATCACCCCCCGACTCAACAACAAATGATCAACACCACTAAATATCAACCTAATTACATGAACCAATCGATTTACCACCAAAACAACGTTCGTCAAGAGAAACGACAGGGTTATGAGCACCAAGAGTTGGCTCAGGAATTATGTGCCGCTATGTTAAATCCACAGCCAGACAAACAAGATAAAGTTAGTTCCTAGATGTACGTTTTTTTATCATTTCTAATTCAACTTTCTGCAGAGTAAACAGGAAACTCAGGAGAACAATCGTCAACCGCACCAACAACAACAAATCCAAACGAATCAACAACAACCAGCGACTTCGATGCCCTCGACATGGCAATCCCTGGCGACTCCGGGCTCGACCGTCGCCGACTACTTGTCCCACTTGCCGGCATCCACGCTGCCTTTAAGTCTGCACCACTTCCTCAAATATTCCGCCGAAACAATCAAGAAGGAAAGTGCCCAACAGGAGCCCAACCCCAACATCCTGCCCCCACAACCAACTTCGAATAATCTGCCCAACACTGCTCAAACCCCGAAGAAGAAAAAGAAGAAAAAACCGGAGAAGGAGAAGAAGCCGAGGCCCAAACCCGGCGAAATCCGCTTGACGACAGCTCTGGACGGCTCGACGCTCTATTGTTGTCCCGAGTGCCACATGGCGTATCCCGAGAAGGAGCTCCTGGAGCAGCATTTGGTGGGGCACACTCTCGAGCGCAGATTCGTGTGTGATATTTGCGGGGCCGGCTTGAAACGCAAAGACCACTTGACGAGACACAAGCAGTCGCACAACCCCGAGCGGCCCTACGTGTGCACCGTGTGTCTCAAAGCCTTCAAGCGGAAGGAGCAGTTGACTCTGCATTTTGTTATACATTCGGGGGAGAAGAGGCATATTTGTACCGAGTGTGGCAAGGGGTTTTACCGGAAGGATCATCTGAGGAAGCACACAAGGTCGCACATTGCGAGGAGAGTTAAGGCTGAGCTCTCGCAACAAGGCAATTCGCAAACGCTGCAACTGCAAATGGCAGCTCCGGCGACTAGTAATACAGTCAGTCAAGGTATACTCTCGTAATTATTTGGTTTTGGTTTGAAAAGTTTAAGATATCCAAGAATTTTGATTGTTTTATTGGCTGTGAAAATTAACAATAAAATTAAACTGGGAGGTATTGGAATTGTTGGAATCAAAATTTTGGGGGTATTGTTGGGTATTTTAAACTTTGATATATACAGAGTGATACTAGTCATTCCATTGGTTTTTTTCTGTCAAAACTCTACCTCACACATATTGTGCTTGTTTATTGTGATAAAATTTACAACTCTGTATATATGTCGAAAGTCGGTTGTTTTACAAAATTTGCTTTAAAGGAATAGTACAAAAAGAGATTGTTATTTGTTGTTTCGTTTAGTCTTTGTGTTTATTTTTTGTTCAAGATGCAGCACATATTTAGGGCGGTTTTGCTGCAAATTTTATATTTTATAAAAATTTGTTTAGGTTTAAAACGAAAAACGAGTATTATTTGCCAATGTAATGATAAGCAATTGAAAGTCTGCCATTTGTAAATTTTAGATTTTCAGGACGAGGCTTTATAAAATTTGCACTATTTTAGGCGTAGGAGTTATTGTGATTTGCAAACATATTGATATTGTGTTAAATTTATATATTTCGGTACTATTAACTAAGGAACGAGTATAACAAAAAAATATTTTGTAAGGCAGAAAATTTATGAAGAGTGTTTATATAATTAAGCATGTATGTATATGGAGAAATATTTGTATGGATTTAATATCTATTTTTAATAGTTTTAATAATCCAAATTTCCAAATTGTGTTTTCCGAAAGCAATAAAGTCAATCTCAGAGTATTCCACTTATTGCTAATTTGCATTGAAAATTTTATTTTGGCGATTTACATAACCAATACCGTATTATGTATTTAGACTAGAATAACTGCGTTTTTTGTGAAATATAGTTGTGTTGTATTTTTTGAAACAAGATACTCAGCAGAAATATTTTAGTATGTAACACAACAATAAAAAATAGTACAAATATGTATGCCATATAATCTTAAGCTAAGTCAAAGTACATGTCTATACTGAAAATGAAATAAGTTTATTAGTGATTAGTTACAGAAAGAATTTACACTTTTCCAAATTCAACTTGGGACAATCTAATTTCATTCATTTCGACGTTTTAATCAATTAGTGTTTCTGTTTAAAGTGTAAATACTTTTTTGTACTGCTTGTAGCCCAGAGCTTCCCATGTATTTGCTTTATTATGTACTGAAAATAAAAACTTATCATAAAATGGATTTTTGTTAAAGAGCATAATTACATTTTGTTAGTTTTGACATTAATAAAAAATGAAAAACAGACCAACATAATAGTGGGTATATTAAAATACGAGTTTCAAAAGACATCTATTTAAGGTTCAAACTATACTTTTTTAGAAGTATCGCAAAGCAACTTGCGAAAATGTAATAGTGGTTGCATCGAGAATTTGGTCAGGCTCATTACTTCTCGTAAATCATCCTGTATATTGCTGGTTGTATAACACACTACCATATCTTGCATATTAATTCCGGAGATTTTTTGTTTGAGAAGTAACTTGTGAAGTTTTATTAAGAGCACATAAGATGGAAGTTATTTTAGCAAAAGTTTGAATTTCTAAAGAGAAAATTCTAAAGCGAGTTTAGTAATTTTTTTATAATAACGGTTGCCGATTTTGATACGCAGCTGTCATCTGTCATTTAATTTTTAACAGTTAGGCGCCTTTTTGTGTCATTCATAATTATAAAACTTTGTAAAAATCTGTTAATAACAACACAGTGTTATCTTTTTATATTTTTGTTAAGAATTGGTGTTTTTTTGTTGTTTGCAGTAACCGGACGTTGTGAGAGGTGAGTTATTTTGAGGCATTTTTCCATTTAACAAAGTAAGGTTAAGGTAACATTGGAAATATTTATTTCGCAAAATATATACAACTAGGCTTTAATAATACAAAGCGAGCAAAGGCAAGCAGCTCTAACAGTAAAAAATATAAATATTATAAAATATAAACATATGCAGGCATTTTCGAAGGCAATTATTGCGCATTTTCTGGTTAGGCACCCTAACCTCAAAATTTGATTATTTTATTGCTCCCGTTTTGCCAATAGTGTACAAAATTTACAAATAGATCGAATTGATTGTAATTAAAGGATTTAACAACAACTTGCAACGAGTAGCGAACAACCAGTTTTGATTGTGATAAGAAGCGTGTCCACAGTTGACCATGCTTAAATTATTACATTGGACGGCTTCTTAGCATTGCGTCTAATGCTCGATGCGGAAATCAGCAATCGCACATGGACATTTATTACAAAAATCACGTTTAGGTTTTCGATGCAAGCAATTTCTCGATTTTGGGATTGTTGGTTAGTTTGTACTGCACGAATTCCTGATTACAATTACTCGTTATTGCTCAGTTAATCATGCTGGAAATGGGGTTGAACCTCATTATTTTCGATAACAGAATCCACAAAACGGAGGTCATTACGCATAACATGACGCCTCCCCATCCCAGGTCTAACGACCAGGACGTCGTAAAAATGCGAGCAGGGAGTAATTCATTCACCCCTCGGCCGCCCAGTGGGCTAACCACCCCGTCAACGGTGCCATCCGAGTCGATATCCGCAGTTTTGCCATGTAATCTCTTAAAATGTATTATTGTTAAGGTGAAAAGTGCGAACGAGCCCGCTAGGAGATACATGACTCCGGTGACCAAAACGGCGCTTATCTGGTGCTGGAAAACGCCGAATGCGCCCACGAGAGCGGCACTTCCCAGGACTATCAAGCAGACCAAGGCGCAAGATATTGATAAATTCTGCATTCCTGAAATTATGATTAATAAAATAAATTAAATTTGAAACGGGTTTGGGGGTTTACTGTGTTGCCAGTCGCCGCGTGGCTCGTAACCTTTGATACCGTCGATTCCGCCGGAGAGGTAGTTTACGCAGGGTTGAACCGATGGAAATCCCACACGACCCAACAATGATATTTCTTCCTCTGGAAAGAACAATTTATCACATTGCAAAGATGAAATACTGCGATTTTTATCCATAACACCACTGAGAGACGGCCAGTACATTCATCACAATTTTATATTCCTAGTAATGTGAAAAAAATTGTGAATAAAAATATGTACTCGTATTTTCCTGAGCGAGGTGCAACGATTTTGTTTGCCATCTATTATGGTTGGGATAGTCTTGAACCCTCGCTACTAAATAAATATTTGATATCGATTAGAACAAGTCTTGTCACGTGACAGAAATGTTTATAGAATGATGTCGATAACTAAAACTGCTTTTTTTAAAGATGATTATTATTACAATAATAAATAAAACACTGAGCTGAAAGTGTTTCGTGGTTATACTATTATATTCTTTAACCAATTGTTTCAATTCATGGCAAAATGCCAGTTATAAAAACATTCATAAGTTATCTTGAAAGTCTTTTAGTCTGAAGCCATGTTTTGAAGGGTCAAAGCCCTGTATTTAGACTGCATAAATAGAGCAAACTATTTGTTTATGAGCTAAATTAGATTGAATATTATCAAAAGTCTTGATTAAAAACTAGAAAAAAATGGAATTTGTTTGTGTAAGTAGAGTAAAAAAGTCAGTAATTTACTTAGTTAGGTTTTTAATTGACAAAAACATTTGTCTGGTCAGAAATAAAAAAAAAACAGATTTCTGTCTTCCTTCGTATCCATTTCATTCGCACTGACAGCAGCAATGATATTTCTGGCAAATCCCACGGGATCAAAGAAAATATTCCCGTTTCTTGTTTACACTTTTGGAAGCATACGATTTCATAGCAGTGGTTGCTTTATCATTATTTCAAGAGGTGAATTTTTGATGCCGCGTATAAAATGTTTCGTGAATTGTCTCGAAAAGCTGATTTCAGCAACGTTTTAATCTTAGTCTTTGTGAATTATTTCATCAAATGCGGAAAGTAGAAGATCGTAAATTTTAACACGTAAAAGTCGAGGTTTACAGATTTGAATTACAGTCCGGTCGCGTTTGCAAAAGTAATTATTTAGGGATTCAGGAAAGATTTATTTACGTTTTTTGACCGGTATAGGGGAGTTTTAGCCGTAACCAACAAGATATATCGAATAATAAATTGTAGATTTTGTGATGACCTACAGTTTAACATAAGTTGGTGGAAACGTACCGAAGGAGGAAAGATGGTAATCCGATTAAATCATCTTGTGGTGTAAATCCTGCGAACTTTCTAGTTAGTCCTGATGGAATTAAGTGATTTAGTTGCGAACTTCTAGTTGCAACATAAATCTTCAGTTATTAAGGATACATACTTTGTATTGATTTTTTTTAAGTTGCATCAGTTTGTTAGCGGGGTAGGATTAAAAAAAAAAACACGAATATATAATTATAATAGGAGCTTTACAAGGTTATTTATCATTTTCTGTTTGCTTTTAGAAAGTTCAGGAATAATAATAATTAATTGGTTTTGGATCTATCTTGTTTTGTAACCACGGTTGAGAATGAGGACGTGTGTACAGAACATTTTTTTACAAGGGACGGTGGTTTTCAACGTAATTTCACATAAATATTTTATTAACGAAATTCACAAAGGTTACGTGTTTGAAATACAAGGTTGTTGATTTCATATTATTGATGAATTTGTTATGTCGTCAGAAACATCAATATATTGATTTAATCTGTGCTTCTATGACTTTTTTTTGTACAGATTTTTTAATATGTGGGCCAACTAGAATTGGATCTATGCTTGAAGCGTTGAGCTTAAAATATTATTCGTGATTTCATCAACAGCTCGGTTATTTCCTTTAATTACGCCTCATAAATCCCCCACGCGAAAATTCTATCTGCTGTTGTGGCAAACCAGCCTTTCAGTCTGTGATTAATTTTTGTATTGAAATCAGCGACCGCATGATTGATGTTTTATTGATTAATAATAAAGAAGGTTCTTACCGGTTAAGCTCACACAGAGTGTCCAAATACCCCCGTGCATCGGCACCAGAAAGGCCACTATTTTGTCTCTTTCGTCATTGGTGGAAACTCTGGCAACGACCCCATCTAAAAGCCATCGCAGTCTGACCGAACTATTGGCTAAATGTTCCAAAGCTGTGCGGTCCCACGTTACCTCTTCCCAATGATCGGTCATAATGGCCGCACACAACATCCCCGTGGCACAAGTTGTCAATAGTAGTGTCCCCAAGAGGAAAAACACGCTCGGGTGGACGCTGCAGTTCCATCCCGAATCGTCTTCGGGATTATTAGGCCTCTGAAAGTTTTTTAATTTGATTTTGAAAACTTTTAGGAAAGTTATAACGAAATGTCGCGATGTCAGCTGAACATTTCTTTTTTTACAATTTTTTATTTTGGGTAGAACATGCTCTATAGTTTAATGACTGGTATTAAATTGAATGTAAATTTTATTCATCTCCCAACCTTTTAAAAGTATTGATCGCTTGGGAAAGTAGATTATTGTCTGCATATTTTTGAATTCATTTTTAAATTTTGCATGTTTATTACCATTTGTACTGACTGAAGAAATAATTATTTTAAATGTTATTCTTGCAAAAGGGTGAAAAGGGGTTTAATCGAACAGTTTGTTTTTTAGAGAACCGATGCATAAAATTGGGAATAGATAGGGAATAGCAAAAATGGTCAAAATTTTAGTCTGAAAACTTTGTAGATTTTGTAATATACCTCCTTCATGATAAATATGCTTTATAACTGTCACAACTGTGAACTTTTTAAGTTTTAAATTTGAAAGACAAGCAATTATTTTAGACAACTTAACTTGTGTTAAAATCATAAAAAATTGTTATGTTATCTATTTCCGACTCTTTTTCTAATTTATTAAGGGAAACTCACCCAACCCGGTTCCTCAGTTTCAGTATTCTCCATCAAAGTGTCGCAATCGACTATGAGGAGATCGTATTCTTGTTGGTGCTTCAGTTTGATGGCGTCCTTGACGAACTGGAAGAAGTATTTTAAGGATTGAATGGTTGATGTTTGTTGCGAAAGAGGGTTATAAAGTATTGGAAGTTTATCTGTTTTATTAGGTCCAGAAGTGGCGATGATCCTTATTTTTTTTTTTCACGTTATTGACGAACTTGTGGGCGAAATCGATTTGTATAGTTCTTCGTTTGGAGGCATGTCAAGGTCTAAACGACTCAAATGGGGTAACACGCCCTCGGTTGACGGTATCGTGATTATTATAATTCCAGTTCTAGGACGCCACGATGTATGTCACCTGGAAATGCCGAGTGGTACAAATTTTGGTTCGGGTTCACAAAATTTATTTTTTACAATTGAGGAGCAGACTTTCAAAATGCAGTTTGTCCATGTTTTTATGAATTGAGATAAAGAAAGATAAAAGAAGGACAGTTTTTGTTCTCTCCTGAAAAAATGCAAATTTGGACAACCTGCTTTTTGAAAGTCTGCTTCTCAATTGTATTATTAAGCAGTTAATAGAAAATGACGTAGTTTTCAAGGTACATTTCCGTCAACAGGGTTGTAAAATTGACTATTAATCTCCCTAGTCATATAATTTTTAATGAATTCAATCATCTATTTTTGTCGTCTCAACTAATGGGTTTGGGATTAATTAAATATTATAACGAGTACCTATAACAATTAGTTTCACTTCGGTTTTTGATAACGTTTTGTTCTCTATTTAAATCACTAACTCTTTGTATTATAAAAATCGTTATACTTATAGATTTTCGTTTCGCGATGAAGTAAGAGAAAATTTACAATATTTCCACCTGAAGGGTAATCAATCATGGATGATGGAGGATGTTTATCTATTAAAAATCTAGAATATAAATCAGCATTTACTAAAATAATTTTTTTATAACATGAATTACTAACGAAATGAGTTGTTACATTTGCGGAATTATAGGAAATGCCAAAGTGCTACAATTAAATTATGAATGTATTGCTGACAAGGGGTAACAAGTTGCTTCTGAAGTCTTTTAAAGGGATTAAGTTTTCTTTGGGTTGCGTCCAATAAGATTTTTGGAGCGGAATATTAAAACTGCTGACAGTAAAAGCACTCCTTTATTGCTGCAGTTTGTTGAAATAATTTGAATATTTTCAGATGTTGGTGTAGAATATTTCAACCTATTACATTAAGTATATCGAGCTCTTAAATTTAGATTACTTCCACCCCGCACCATTTAATTAAGTATTAATTGAAATTTATGTTCTAAGGAGAATATTATACGAGCTTTGCGGGCTTCCTATGAACTTTGAAGTTCAAGTCAAATATTAATTTCATTCAACCCCGTAACAATCCGCGACAGCTAGATTCTAATTTTATCCACGGTTTTTACGATAGTATTTTTGAAGCGGCGATACATTTCTTGAGTTTTTCTAACATACGATGAGCGGGAAACCAAGAGCATTTGCATGTAACTTATTTTCCCAAGGGTGTACAACTTCATTTCCGGTAATGCAAAATTACGAGGTTTCGCACCCGACTGAAAAACAATCTGTTTTTGCGGTCGAAAATCCATAAATTTTCTTTCAACGGAAAATTGATTCAGAATAAAATCATCTTACCTAGTGGAACGTGATTCGAATTTGATTACAATCCCAATAATACAAATATAAAATAATTATTTTTTACGAAAGACACAGTTAATTTGAATTAATTGACTTGGAATTTTCGGTTCACAGTTTGAGCGTCATGTTCGAATAAATTCTATAAATTGTGCGTCTCACGCAACACGATTTTTCACATTTCTCATTGCAATCCTAGGCAAAGGCCAAAGCACTACTGCTTTGCCGCGTTGCGTATCCTGTGGATGTCTGTTTTGGACGTCGATACGACGCCGACGCCGTCTAACAAGGGTCATTAAAATCATTTTTCAACCCGCTTTTTTGGTGTTGACGAATTTTCCGCATCTCTTTTATTTTCGTTTACAAGCTTTTCTTATTTTTTTAATGACAATGTGAGTTATGGCCCGAAGAGAAAATTAATTTCACAGAACAGCGATAAGTCGAGAGACATTCTTATCGGATTTTTTGTCAAGCGGGAAAAAATCGTGGTTTTCAGTGATTCTTTAAACCACGTTCAAATCGTGTCGTTTTCTAACCTCATTGTTGCAAAGTAAGAAAACATTTGGGTGAATAAATTGTAATAAGCTAGGTTATTTTTTAGATGGCTGATGTTGCATTAGATCCTCAGAATTCCAACCCAAAAGAACTGTTTGGTCAAGGGGTTCGAGCTTACGTCTTGCAGGATTTTGAGACCGCTGTTCGGGCTTTCAGCAAGGCTAGTGAGCTTTTGGCCGCTGAGCATGGAAGCGATATTCATGATTCTCTCGGTGATGTTTATCTCTATTATGGCAAGTCTTTGTTAGAATTGTCGAGGAAAGAAAGTGGACCATTGGGAGATGGTGTTTTGAAAAACGTGGAAGAAGAGTCAGAGTCGGAAGAAGTGGAAGAAAACGAAGCTGGAGAGGAAGAGGAGACCAAACCAGTCAATGGAGAGGCGACCAAGACTGAGGAAAATAAAACTGAAGAAGAAACGGGTAAAAACAAACCATCAGCTGAAGGAGAAGGGGATAAAAAAGACGACAAACCATCAACTGAAGAAGAAACGGATAAAAAAGACGACAAACCACCGGCTGAAGAAAGTGGAAGTTCCGAAGAAAAGAAAGAAGGTTTGAAATAACAATAATTTTGCTTGATTTAGAATGTGTTTTTTAAGGTGAGGAAACCGAAGATGAGTTAACGGATCTTCAAGTAGCGTGGGAAGTCTTAGAATTAGCTAAACGTATTTTCACTAATCGGGGTACCGAAGGGAAGAAAAACCTAGCGGAAACTCTAATTGTTCTCGGGGAGATATCTCTAGAAAGTGGTAATTTTTCCTCGGCTATCGAAGACATGACCCAGGGACTAGAAATCCAAAAAAACATTTTCGGAAATGACAGTCGCACTATAGCAGAAACCTGTTACAAATTAGGAGGGGCGTACTCAACCAATGGCCAGATCGACGAAGCTGTCGCAAGTTTTAACTCTTCATACGAATATTTACAAAACAAAATCACCAGTTTGAAAAAAGATGAGAACAAAGAGTCCAATAGTGAAGAAATCGAAGAGCTCAATAGTCTTATTCCTGAAATTCAAGAAAAGATTGCTGATATGAAAAATTTGAAAAGCGAGGTATATTCTTTAGTTGAAAACGCCTGTAAATGTTAACTTGTATGAATAAATATTTTTTACATTTGTTTTTTCAATTTTTTTAATTTGTGAACACCTGTTTCAGATTGCTAATAAAGTGACCTCTTCTATTGAAGATGAGACTGCCCCAAAAACAAACGGGAATGCAGGAGCTTCGTCATCGAAACAAGTGAATGATATCTCCCATTTGGTAAAACGTAAGAGAAAGGAGGAAGAGCCCCAGGAAGAAAATCCAGCCAAAAGGCCTTCGCCCTAGACATTTGGTTTCAGCTAGGCATTAAAATTGAACTGTGTGTATTATATCTAGGTCAAGTTCGTATTGGTAATAAATTGTTCTTTGTGTTTCTCTTTTCTTACTTTAATAAATTATTTTTTCATAGCTAGTTTTTCTTTATGTTCTTTTATTTAAGTGCGGGTGGGAAAGAAAGACAAGGTTAATAAAGAGAGCAATTTTGTTTCGATGTTGTATTTTAAGTCTAGGTTAAGTTTTGTTGGACTTGGTTACAGTTCTTTTCCTTTTAGTTCCTTTAGTTTTTTTCTAAACCATAAGTGTACACCTAGTTGAAACATTCGTATAGTTAGAGTTCCTCGCACAACTGAAATGAGAAAATTAGAGAAAGAGTAATAAGAGTAATGAACCAACTCAGAAGAATAACGCTGACGAATATGTTGCTCCAGGGCAACCACGATATCTTCTTCACTCGTTTTAAAGCTGTTAACGTGTTCACTATGCCTTGGTAGTGTGTAAAATAGAGACTGTATACTGTAAGACACATCCACGGCATTAACAGCATCATACTTTTCTGCAAAGAAAGTTCAGAGGAAGAAAAGAATTGTTTCAACTTACATCGATTAGACCTTTGCAGAGTAAAAGCGAAACAAAAGTCATTATCACCAGGTCTGAGATGAGAAAAGACAAAGTCATTCCGGAAACATTGCTGTTAAAAGTACTTTTCGAAGCCGCATAAATCCCAGAAAAGGTCCACAAAACCACTGACAATGCTGGAGATAACTCTTTGTATTTTTCCTTGAGCAGTGCCAAACTTTGCCGGTAATTTAAAGGTCGTTTAATAAAAATCGTACTAGTGCTCATAATCACCTCAATTTTCGAAAAATTCCAAAGTCAAAATGTGTGACACTGCAGTTAAACAACAGCCGCCTCCTGTCGAAAATTTCGGAAAAATGTCAACCATCAAAAATTTCAGTCCACGATGAAACTCCCATTTTACACGGTAATCGGCCCCCATTTCAAACGCAACTACTACTTCATTCGCCAGTTTTGCGGACACCCCTTTTTGTGCATTTCGGATTTCTACACAATGGTCCTGGGAATCCTAGGCGTGGTAAAATTTGGTGGGTTTTAGACGTGGAGTCATTGAATACTTCACGTGGATATTTCAGGCATTCAGTGTGTTTGACATCGCGATGATCCTGAAATGTGGACCGACACTGCCGGGATATCTGCTTAAGGCTCGAGGTGACTTCGGGAAAGTCATAGACCCGACGCTGGAAAGGGATTTGAAGCTAATTGCTCTTCTGGTTTCACTGGAATATTACCTTTTTTTGATTGTAGGAGTTATGTCGGTACGTCATTCCAACTCGTAATCGTGGAATTTATTAATGTACATTTTTCTAGAAGAGCCCAGTGTTCTTTCTACCCTTTTTATTTTTATACGCCTTCATCATAGTGATGGAATTTGTGACATTATTTTTACGGCTCTTTACAGATGGCTTTAATTTTAATAAGAGCAGTTTGTTCACATCGATGTTCGTGGTCTACAACTGGATGTGCGTTTTCTGCTGTTTTTGGCACAAAATGGAGTATTGTGACTATTAAGGAATAAATATTTAAAAATAAACAGTGTTTTGTTCACGACCCAAAAACATAGTTTCTTACAGATATAGACTAGGGCGATGACTTCTTCAATTAATTTTTGTTCAGGATGTTCCAAGAAAGTCACCCAAAGTAGATTACGAGGTGTTGATTTTGAATTATACAGATTGGATTATAAAAACGCTCCAAATCATAACTCCATTATTTTAAAAGATATGACTATATTGGAACAAAGTTGATTGTTATCTATTTTTTGCTCAGAATAGATTGTAATTTTGAACAAAAAGTATTGTCATATTTTTAAAAATAATGAAGTTTGCTTTGGGGCGCTATTTATAACCTAGATTATGTAATTCGATATATTTTGGAAAAATCATTGAAGGAGTTGGGTGAAAATATAATTAAAAAGTTTTTTTACAAACAAAAGAAAAAGGTACTGGAGGTAATTCAGAATATCTTTTTAAAGCTAAAATTATTCCTGAGGAATATGCTAATTTTAAAACTTATTAAAATTTGAGAATTAACGAAAAATGGTTCTAGTCCTTTTTTGGAAATAACACTAGGCGACAGACTTTTCTAACAAGCATAATTTTTGATACCAGTCTTTAAAACACGCCATTTGACTAGGTATAATGGTAAAAATAAGAAACCTCCAACACGTCACATCTTTAATTAATATTTTTTGTTAAACGTTAACCTAGGGCATTATTATGCTAAATAAACTTAAATTTCATCCTTTACTATTGATTTGTAATTAATTTATTTTCCGTTTAAGCTAGTAGAATCCTTTATGTATCTAAGACAAAATTGCCCTAAAGTAAGTAATGCGAAAATCCGAGAACGAATAATTCTCGTATCACCTCAAATCTGGAAAGTGATCCATAATGAAGTTTTTATGCAAAAATTAAATACCTAAGAATTATGTAACTCTTGGAATTCTTGTAGTGTACTCCACAGATTTCTTGGTCATAATAAAAATAAAAATTATTCTATATTTATCTAAAAACTATTGGAAAATTGTAAAACATTTGGTCGCCCAATGTCTCTAAAAGTGCATTTTTCGATTCGATTTCTTTCTACAAAATTTAAGGGCTGTAAGTGATAACCAAGAGCGTTTTTGTCAAGATATCAATGCCATGGAAAAAGTGCTATGGGATTGGACAATGATGGGACTTCTGCAGGTTTTCTGTACTGTTTTTTCTCCTCAAAAAACAAAAACAAAATTCTTGAAATTGTTTCTTTGTTAAATTTGTGTTCAATTTATTATTTAGTGGTCCATTTTGTGTAGTTTAAAATTAGAAATGGTTTTTTAATACATTTTTTTAGTCCAGTCTGTGTCGTGAATATAAGTGATTACTTTGACTGTTCTTTAAATTTGAAAACAAAAATAAAAAAAAAACTTTAAGTGATGGAGAATTTTTTTGGTGATGACTTTTATATTTTCTGAACAAAATTACATAGGTTATAGGTATTTCTATTAATGTTAAAAAAAATTCAAAAACTGTCGCCTAGTGTAATTGTTTTTTTTTTTTTCATCAAAGTATGTTGTACATATTTTTGTTAATAAAACTTAAATTCTCCTGCATTTATTACTAATTGATTTCTATTTATTTTTAGTACAAATTTGTTAACTTTAACCTAATTTGTGTTTATAGTTGTAGTGCCTACCAGTTTTTTCAATCTTAAAGAAGTTTTGAGAGTTTCAAAAATCTAAGCATAAACTCTTATAAAATCATATTTAATTTGTATTTACAGATAATTAGATAAGTTTGCACTTAACAGAACAGTACGCTGGATGATCGATATGATGCTTAATAATAAAATAAACCAATTTCAGTTCGTACAAATTTATTAAATTAGGGGATTTTTGGGACAAAATTCCTCATCAACAACCCCAGCCTTACAAAACGCATATATCGGCCCGGTTAGGACCATTCTAGGCGTAGCCTTTTGACTCGCCTTGCGTAGATTCGTCAATACTTTTCCAAAAAATGCATGACAGGGCGTTTTAGATTCCATATGAAGTCCATTCGAGTCAACTGAGACTACATCTTGACCCAACTTTTCATATCTCTTTTTCCCATACCGAACAAAAAGCCTAATTTTCATTTCAAGAAGACTTGTATAATTTTTGCATCTTTTGTTTGCAACTTTATCAGGGATATCAAAACTCAAACCTCCAAACTGCCATATTTGCAATACTCGAATCGCAAAAAGTTTCATCTGTGGACTGAGACGGATCCAACTGAAGTAGAGAGGGCTATTCGAGAAAATATCACCGTAGGATAATTGACTGACAAGTATATGTGGATATTTCTGCACTAAATCATCAATAGTGAACTCAGTTTTATTTTGGTGAATTATTTTCGTTTCGTTGGTTTTTGTTTCGTTATTTATTGCTCGCTTCAGTTTGATGTATTGGTGGGTTTTACTACCGACAATGAGGAGATGGATTTGATAATCCGGAAACGCTTTCACTATATTTTCTAAGGTGCGAAGCTGGTTTAAATGCCATTTGTGTGATGTGTGGACTAGATGAATCGTCCTGTTGTCGATTAATTGATATTCAGAGGAACATCGCGGGTATCTCAAATGGTGCTCATAAGTCATGCAAGAAGTCAACATTATGGAAGCGATGAACAGAGTTATGCCACAGATCAGAGCGGTCAACCAACACGAACTCAAATAATCTGAAACAAAAAAAATTGGTTCAAGAGCAGGTTATCACTACTATTTGTTGTCCAAGGGTCATCACTAGTGTCTCATTATTAGTCGAGCATTTGAAACGTATTTACAAATTTAGTTTTTTTACAAATGAAGGTTTACATTTTGTTGACGTTTATTACAACAGTTTGGGGCAAATGTCACTTACAAGTTGAGGAAGGGTTGCCCAACAGGACCCTCTGCACCGTCGAAACCCTCGAAGAGGATTCACTCAAGTTAAAAAACCAGAAAAAAGCCGATTATTTGTACGTCGACGTGTCCTACGGGGAGATCCCGAAAGATGCATTTGCGAAATTAAAGTCTAGGAAAGAATTGTGGTTTTTGGGTGAGAATATTACTTACATCCAACCCGGGGCGTTTGCCCACTTAACAGAACTCGACAATTTGGCGATTACAAATACTCTAATTACGAACGTTTCAAAAAATAGTTTTAGTGGTGTTCCAAATTTGAAAGTGTTAAGTTTGATTAAAAACAAAATTGAATTTATTCAAGATGGTGCTTTTAGTGGTTTAGACAGTTTGCAGCAGCTTTTGCTGAATGAAAATCGGCTACGGAGGATAAACGAGACGACTTTTCAAGGTTTGGAGCATTTGCAAGCCTTGTATTTGGACGACAATCCCATCGAGTACGTTCATGTGAATGCTTTGAGGAAAATGACGAATTTGACACGACTTGTGATTAGTTTTGTCAAGGATAAAAATATCGATGAGACTGCTTTGAATTTTATAGATGATAGTCGAAAAATTGTCCATTATGTAAAAGGGGATTAGTTTGTATGTCCAATAAAATATAAAGCGAATTTTTGGTATTATTACTCACTTGGCCACTCGGTGATGATTGCGGAAGCTCCCGACGTAATCCCATCGAGTCTACCTCGAAAAAGCCGTTTGTTATTTTGGGCAACATCTTCATTGCCCATCAAAACCAGCAACAAGGGGAATTGCTCATCGGTCTGAGGTTTTCGCATTGTGGATTATTCATTCTGTAATAATTCAATTAGTTTTTCGGATTGTATTTCTTTAAAAGTGTCTCACAATACAAGATTTAAAACCCGGTTGAATGCTTGACGTTTGATTATGAAAATTTTCTCAATGTTGTCAGTAGTGCAACCGAGGAAACGTTAACAAATTAAACAGTTATTGTTTTTAAATCGTAATTCTTTCACGAAATGGTTTTGTTGGAAATGAAAGGTTTGTGTGTTTATCCACCCACGTTTGATACAGGGAAAATGAAAAATGAGAGGAATTGTTTCGTTTAATTGGTTTGGCTTGTTTAACAATAGTTGTTAACACTAGGAGGAATTTGTGATAAATTTGGTTAAAAGTGGAAACAACTACAGAGTGTGAAACAGATAATTAATGTTGTTTCACTTTAAATTTAGAAATTTAGAAAATTAGTTTTGGCTGGTTTGTCCCAAGCTAAAAAAATAAATTGCAGACTACATGCCATCTCAAACGTGTCATAAACAAAACAATAATCGTTAAACCCTGCTCGTAAAAGAATATAAAATAAAAGCTTTTGCTTCATTTAATGTTTTGATAATTGTATTATAAATGATTTTGATGTGCGGGTCGGTAATGTGTTATTTTTTCAAAAGGTAAAGAACATTTTTGCTTTATTTTTTTCAGATATAAATAAAAGGGTGAGTCCGGTTTTGTTGATGTTTTATGTTTTATTATTAAAAAAACAATAATATAGTTAGGAAGTGGAAGTCGTAATTTATATTCAAACATTTGCTAAAGCATAATATTAATGAAATCATATTTTAATGATGCTAATTTTCATCTATAATGTAATTTTTTAACAACTCATCCAAATTACATAAAAAGTTGACTTAAAAAAATTCAAGGTTGATGAAAATTATAAATATGTACCTAGCTAGAGAAATATACGAGTGTTAACTCATATTACGAATATGTAACTAACAATTACAAGAATATAAATTGAACTTCGTTTCAGATAACCAATAAATCAGAAATAACTAATTAATCAAGAATATTCTTTGGAAAATTGCAACAAAAATTTTAGAAGACTTAGTAGATTTTGATTAAAAAAACAATTTTATATTTTTTATTTTATACAGGGTGTCTCACGTAAGACTTTCGGATCTAATATCTCCGTTATTTGCCAACGGGCTTTTATAAAATTAAAATGTAGGCAACTTAGAAGGAGATTCAATGAGTCTTAATAAAATTATCTCAGTATAAAAATATAATTTTAACACTTATTTTCTCAAGATGAAATTAAGCGAAACTACTATTATATCGTTAAGTACTAAAAAATAGACCTCTACACAAAAACTTAACAAAATCACTCGTCTAAATCAGCAGAAATACGTCGATTATGTTGTTAAAATTTTGACCTAATTTTTGAAAGAATTTTATCAAAAACTTCAAATTTTTAGACTTTTTTTAGATTTGATTTTCTAGATTTCCATGCCAATGGATCTTTGGTTGTACTGAATTGGTTAGTCTAATAAATGCAGTTCATAAAGTGCGTTATTAACTTTTTGAAGTTAGAGAAACAGTAAACGTGAAATATCAACGTCATTAGTGTCGCGCATTGTCGCGTGACAGTCAAGGGTGATTTAAAAGTCTGTAATATCGTTCTTTTTTTTGTAGCCACGTATTTTTTTGCATCTTCAGCCACTTTTAACACACTTTTATTCTTTTTTTCTTGTAAGCGGGATCTCTTTGAAGGACAGATTTTTGCTTATGGCATTTTTATTGGCGATTAACAATTTAATACTCCTATAAATTTTGAGTAATTTAGCATTTTTAAAAGACTTGTTAAAACTACATTTTAAGGACTAGGGTTGTTTTAGTAATGCAATATTAATCTCTACCTACTAAATACTCTACATCTAAATTTCGTTAGAATCCGTCGGCAAATAATAGAGATATTAGATCCGAAAGTCTTAGGTGGGACATTAAAAGTACTCACAGTTCAGAGAATTTTAAGTCACATTTTAGCACAATCACTGCGACACCTTTCCAACATTTGATTGTTGCTGGTTACGTGCTCAAACTTTTGTGTTTATATTCTTTCACGTTGTTATAAACACAACTTTTTGCAAGAGCAGCAGGTTTTGTTATGAAATAATAAATGAGTTAAATGGATCGAATGACAAATATAGGAAATGTAGGTGAGTACGGGAAAAATTATGTCACGCTTATCATTGCGAAATAAAATGTATCCAATTATGGTAAAATTTATTGTGATTGAAAAATTATTACATACAGTATACAATGTAATCGATACTTAAGTAAACTAAATCGTTCGTGTGATAGCAAATTTCGGTGCCATATTTCTCTTTGAGATAAATAAATAAATTGAAATAAATAAACCCAGAACCATCCCGAATGACAGCATTTTCACAATTTGTGCAAAACTGTGAAAAAGCTGTGCTATATTAATGACGTTTTGCTTTGAACTAAGTGGTTTAGTTCAAAGAAAATCGAATTAGTTCGTATCAGTCTAAATGGAGTGTTATAGTACATTACTAACTCTCCAAGTACTAAACCATTCTTGGTACTTGCGAGTACTACTTACAAACTAGTTGGCAACGAGATTTACTTAAAGGATCGTATCGAATAAACTGGCACTTTTTCTTCGTCTTAATGAGACATTTGTGGTCTCCACTGGTATCTCCCATCTCGTATCGCGGATGTCGTAGCCGCTGCAGTGTTGCAGTCTGGATGGGCGTTCACACTGTTTACTTATCGCCCAATAAACGTATCCTTGTGGGCATTGGTACATGTAACCTTCCATTTTTCCATAGAAGTTATTGTAAGAGCGCTGGCATTTGACAAACGTTGTTGAACAAACGGCGCCATCAGTTTCGTGGAAGCCGACACTAGGACAGAGCGTTCGCTCACTGTTGACGGGTATCTATAAAAATGAATTGATGACTTTACAGACATTAAATTTTATGATGTTGTTTACCGGAGGCAATGAATTGGCGTTGAGTCGCTTGTAGAAGGAGCTTTGAGCTATTTGTCCGTTGCAAGAACTTGTTTCGTTTTGAGGCAAGCATTGGATTCGTGCGTCGTCGTAAATTCTTCCTTCAGGGCAACTCATAACGAGGATTTTAAAGTCGTGATTGTCTGAGTTTTTGGTACATTGGTAGAATAGATTGCAGTATTTGGGATGTCTCTTGAATCCGGTTGGGCAAACCAGAGCGATTTGGTCACCTTCTAGTTGACCGATGGGACATGGGGCTGTGGTGGACTGAGAAGAATCAGTGGTGGTACTTTCACCACCGATAGTACTTTGGATTGTGGTTGTTGGTTCGTTGGTACCGGTAGCACCGTCAACACCACCTGTTGTTCCAGTACCGGGATAGGTACCACCTGTTGTTCCAGTACCGGGATAGGTACCACCTGTTGTTCCAGTACCGGGATAGGTACCACCAGTTGTTCCGGCACCTGGAGTAGTTCCCGGATAGGTACCTCCTGTTCCAGTACCTTGAGTGGGACTGTCTGTACCAATAGTCGTACTTTCTGTAAAGATGGTACCTGGTGTAGAGCCATCAGTTATAGTGCTAGGGGCAGTAGTGCTTTCTGTGATTGTATTACTAGGAGTGCTTTCTGTGATTGTACTGCCAGGGGTGCTAGTGTCAGGTATAGTGCTTCCGGGTGGTAGTTGCGATGATCCCGTAGTGGAACCGCCTGCACCAGATGGCTGTCCTGGTGTGGTTCCCGTTTGAGAACTACATTCTGTGCAATTGGAGGGAGTGCTTTGTGGTTGTTCTACATAATTTCGACACATTTCTCGATTAACAGCAAAAGGATAGTTGCAGGTTATCGCGTCCGGATCCCAAACAGTATTTGGACCGCAGTTAAATTCGTATTTTGTAAAACTGCCCTTTCCATTGTCTACACATCTGTAGAATTTTTTGCAATCTTTTGTATCAGCCAGAAAACCTTCTTGGGTACAAGTGTCTCCAATTTGACTTGAAATTGATGACGACGATGTGGAGCCATTAGGTCCCTAAAATAATTTTGATCTTAGAAATGTAATGGATTAAATAACTAGAAGTACTTCGTTTATATTGTAAAGTGAAGTACAGCACGGCTTTGTGATGCGCACAAAGAAAAAAAATAGAAATCCTGCGCACGTAGCTTTTATGTTCTAAGAAAATTTGGCCGGGTTTTAATTGTCTTTACCTGAGGTTTTTGACTCCCTTGTTGACCAGGTTGTCCTGGTTGACCAGGTTGTCCTGGTTGACCAGGTTGTCCTGGTAGACCAGGTTGTCCTGGTTGACCAGGTTGTCCTGGTTGGTTAGGATACCCTGGTTGTTGTGGTTGTCCCGGCTG